TGGGGATAAAGCGGGAATTAATTATCTTTTGACTTTGACTTTATTTAAAAAAGTTTTGTTTTTATTATTCCAGCGCAGATTAATTTCGAGCAGGATAAACGTGAGACTAGCGAATTCTCACGTCGCTTAATACAGTGCTGTCATTTACGTGAAACACCTGTCGGAAATACATCCCAGCTTTGAACTGTGAACTCTACTGCACTGGAAGAAGTTATTAGAAACTTATAAAGTACTAAATATTTGTTGAATTTATAGTACATAGATTATAACTTAAGAAATGTGCATATATCTTAGAGATTTTAATTAATGACATCTTACAAGCTAAACTGTTTTATCTTTTGCAATCATAAAAATTTTGGTCAAAAATAAATAGTTCCTAAGCTTTAATTTTGCAACCTGTTCCCAGCTTCCTTCTGCATGTTTAGGTATCATAAACTCCCCTAATCCATCCTACAAATCCACCATCTACCATTGTATATATTATCCACTCCAAATCGATTTTGTTTTGTGTGTGAAAGTGGGACAGGATGCTGGGGCGCCCGATTCAGGAAGCTCGGGAACGAATTCGTATTTAACTTTGTCTAATCCTCGTTAGCATTAATTTGGCCAGTCCAGGTGTGTCTGTGTGTGTGCTTGCCGGAAGTAGGAGCTGGAGGATTTCATTTTCATTTTCGGCTGCGTTGGTATTTGAGGCATGCACGAGGCCGACAAACACACGCATCCTTCAGGACGCATTACTATAGGCCATTGTTATCCGCAGTCGTTGTTGCTATTGTTGGCGACGGATGGCAGGCAGGTGTGTGCGTGAGTGTGTAAAGTTATTAAAACCATTCAAAACGTTTGCTTTGGATTCAGATCCCGATTCCCCCCGCCCATATACTTATTCTATACATATATTGTACGTGCAGCCATGTGTGTGGGCGTGTAATTTGCATAACTACATGCCAGGACCAATCCAGAGACTGGCAGGATGTGAATAGGTTTCCGGCGACCTAACAAACCTATCCTCCGCAGTCCCAAACGGGGACACAAATACATGAAAAGCGCCGCTCGGAATAACATAACCGTTGCAAATTAGCACACAATGGCAGGTGTAAAGAGACTGGAGTCAATTCACTGCGACGAGCATTGTTATGGCGGTTCCTTGGTCCTCTTGCTTATTAGAATCGGATAATCGTTTGAATGACAGCTCCGGCTGACCCAGCACTACTACATTTATTGGGACATTCACATACTCGGGGCTTTGCTTACAAACTACTGGATTAGCTTACACAAAAGGTACATATTTGCCATGTATATATTACCGAAATTAGCCTAAGATAATGAAACCGATATGGCCAAGAGCAGGAGGAAAGCCCCGTATGGGTTCGCTATAAGTAGATACAAAGTATACATTACATTTGCATTAAATAAGTGATAGTATGTAGCATTCTGTAGTAAACTTCGGCTGTAACAACATTGTGACCTGTGTAAAAATAAAACGGAAAACCCAATTAAATCCAGAAATGTTGCTAAAAGGGGAAAAAATCGGCTTCATCTCTATAAAATAACATCTTTATGACGAAGTTAAGGTTGCCTTGCTGGTGGTTTTTATGTTATTCCACAGGCAGGGGAGCATTTCCCTAACCGAAGACAATGTCGGTGGGAATGCCAGCGAAAATGTGTCAGGGCCAATGGCCAGTTGGCCAATGCCCGCAACCTGCAACCTGTTGTTGGCCTCATAGGGAGCAGGAGCAGGACACCTACCCACCCGGTGGGATGGCTCCCTGGGAGCTTGGTAAATGTTTCTGCGGAATATGAGAAATTGGGTTTGCGGTCTTCCAGTCAAATGCAGCTCGAAATCGTTTTCATTCGATTCGAAACTCGAACCCCGATGTTGGGGGGCCCAGCTGCCCAAAGGTGGAATGGAAATTCATTAATACACACTCCGTTTGGCTAACGGAAACTAATTTCGTTCGACTCCGAATGTAAATGCCTTTCGTGTGGCTTTTGCGGTCCCTTTTCTCGATTGCCTTTTGGGCACATGGAAAAATAATTCACAGGAATCTCTTCTTCCAGTGAATTCTCAACAGCAACTCGACTTGTAAGGGAAGCAGGGGAGGATGTGCTAGAGAGTTTTCCATTAATATTTCAAGGGAGAGATATAGGTAAGTTAAAATGACAATTCTACTTCAACTTCCATCGAATACAAACAAATAATTATATAAGCACAGCTTTTCTGAAGCACCTCCACTTGCATTAGCTTTATTTTAAACACAAAACGGAAAGGATTTCCCAGTGAAAATAATTAAATTTTGTTTCGTGTAAATTCGGCAGTGTCCTAAAAAAAACGTTGCTAAATTTAGGACCGTGCCACGCACAAAATGTCTTGTTTTCACTGCATAAAAAGAACATTTGTAATTTGTTTGCCTGGAATTTTAGGGGTCTGCTCCTGGTCCTGGCCGTGGTCCCGGTGTTTTGGCCGCACCGCAGATTTGGTCGCCTGCATGCTTCACTCTCGGGCGAAATTTACTTGCATAATTTATGCGAAATCAGCGACGTGGCTGAAAAAACAACCCCACAGGCCACACCACAACAACACACGCACACCCAGCGAGAGGCATGGAGAGGAGCACTTTATTTGCCAGCCAGTGGCACGTAAAATGCTTTATCCCCGATTCATTGTCACCGAGAAGATGCTTTATCGCTGCCAGACTACAAATTCCAGCGCAGCTAAAAATATTAACGCTTGAATCTCATACTAGACAGGTATAATATCTGGCAGGTGGAAAAGTGGGTGGCCCTGTGGGCGGCTTTAAGGACATTGCTGCAGGGCAGGCACAGAGAATGGAACGGGAGCCGAGGCAGAGCCCGCATTTATCTTCTGGGCAGGAGGAAAAACTTTGTCTTTAGTCATTCAATCCAGCCAGCCACACGGACGCTTTTTTTCGGGCGGGATTATGAATAATCACCTTGGCGAGAGGGGGAGAAAGAGGAGAGAGATGATGCCCGAGCAGAAGACGCATTTGTTTTTATCGCACTTTTTACTTTGTTTGGGAACAGAGAGAAAAATTAAAATAACCTTGATTAGGTTTGTGTTTATTTATTTATCGATAAATATCGTTAAGAAACAGTCCAGTCAAAATAAAGAGTGCTCACTTACTTGATGATGCCGATACTATAGATCTCTTTGCAGTTGCCACCAATAAAATATAATTTCATATCAAATAACTATTAATAGAGTATCAGTCAAAAATATACCAAGTTTTCTATGCTCTTATTTAAAAATATCGTTGTTTAATCGATAAGCATCGATGATTTTGCCAAAAGGGCACATATAGATATTTTCTAAATTGTTTTCTAATTTAGGAAAAAATGTAAGCGAAAAAGTAAATGTTAAAATCAATTCTATACAAAATTAAGAATATTTTAACACTTTACTCTTATTTCTGTCTTCAATTAATACCATTTATCGATCACTTTTCGCTCAATGCATTTGCGCTTTCCATTCACTTTGTTTTCGCCTGTTTATTTTTGCATAATTTTCTAAGCGTCGTGCCTCAGTTTTAGTACATTTTCATTTACCTTGCGTTGTGTGTCACGGGGAGGATGGCCGTGCAAATTTGTTTACCTTCGTGCGTGCGCAAGTTTTTCCAGATTATGCAAAAGTTGAATTTTTCATTGCATACGCTCCGGCGTATTATCCTCGCCGCGTGTCAATGCGATACAACAACAGACGGCGCTCCGACGGCGGTGAAAAATTCAATGAGACACCCGCCTCCCCCCAAGAAGGCGTTTATATTAAATTGTATTATTTTGTATTTTCTTTGAGGGCGGGAGCCTCGTTTCGGGCCTGTGCTGCCCAGGGGCCGAAGATGTTTACTTTGCTGTATTTTCTGTAAACTTGCCGCCGGCGAAGCGATTGCCACTGCTGTTGAAGTTGGCTCTTTTCCTTTTTCTACTGCTTTCTGGGCCCAGGACTTGTCAGCGTGCCAGGCAAATGAGTTTACGAGAGGGGTGGAGCAGAAAGGAAAGGAAAAAGCGAACAAGGAAGGCAAAACTAACTTTGTGCACATCTTACTTAACATAGTTACAGGCCGCCCTTGTTTTCTGTCCTGGCTCTTGTTCGACCCTCTTCTGCGGCGTTTAGTAGGTACCCCCTAACTGGTTGCCAGAAAAGGATACTCTACACTGGGTCAAAGGACCACTTACGAATAAGTTATTTTTTTAAAGCCCAGGATTTCGAAGCTAAAGTTGGCATAACTGAAATGCTTACCTATATATTGGAAATAAGTTGGAGCTTTGTTTAAAAATCAGACTTGCTACTGAATGATTTAAAATATTTCCTTAAGTATAAAGTAAATGGATTAATCATTACCTTTATAATTTTAAATTTCGATTTCAAGGGTAAATAACATTAAAATTATGTTCGTGGCTTCAAAACTATAGTATTAATTTTTCTATAAAAATATTTAACCTTTAATATTTTGTAAGTATTTTAATAGGGATACTTATGCCTTCGGTTCTTCGAAATTTGACTTTCTCCTTGGTTTATCCTATCTTTAATGTGCTCGTGTTCACTGGCTGGGCCTGGAAAAGCAAATTTCAAACATAATGAGGGTCAAACAATATTTGTGATTTGGTTTTTCGAGCCAACAAGACGGGACTCTATGTTGTTCGCGAAGCTGCCATTGTTTTGTTTCCTTTTTTTGGCTTTTTTTCTCCCGGCCACGAAACAACATTACGAGTTTGTGTACATGGCGTACATATTTAACCTTTTCGGGGACAGGGGCCACCAAGTCTTTAACATTTTTGTCATGTTCCGTCAGATTTGGCATGGTTTTCTTTATGAACACTTCATTTATTTGCCATATTTGCTCTAATTTGTACACAGTTTCCAATTAATTGATCATTAATTGTAGTAAAATATTAAAAGATTCAAATAGAAAGTATTTTATTGAAAATATTGACAATAAATAATTATATTACAATTTTTAAAAGAAAATTCGATGAGTAAGTTCTCCACTAAAGCGTCGGATAGACGGGAATGGTGCTGATGCCGCACTGGTTCTTCCCGTTCCTCAGCATCTTGATGTAGCCCTTGTCGCCCCAGCTGGTGCCCCAGGAGTTCTTCACCAGCCAGTAGTCCTTGCCGGCCTCCCTGCCGTAGCCTACAACCGTGACGCCGTGATTCAACTTCTCGGAATCGCAGGCGGGCTCGTTGTACACTCCCTTGGAGTAGAATTGGAAGGACCTGGGGGAGGCGTTAATGGCCACCGAAATAGGTCCGATGTTGGCCACCGCATCGGCCAGCTTGTTCTCGTCGCCCTTGGGCAGTATTCTGAATCCCGTGACTGTGGCTCCGATCGCCGCCTTGTTGTACTTGCACTTGTCATTGATGCCCTTATAGGGATACGAGACCTCTGTGTCGATGCCGCCATTTTCCCGGATGTAATTGAAAGCGTTGGTCATGAAGCCGCCTTGGCAGCCCTGATTTCCCCAGTTTGTGGAGCAGTCCACCAGGTTTTGCTCGGACAGGGCAACCAGCTTCCCGGTCTTGCGAAACTGCAGACCCTCCAGGGTTCCCGTGCTAGCAAAGGCCCAGCAGCTGCCACACTGCTTCTGATTCTTCACGGGCGTAACGGCGCCCTTGGAGCGCCAATCCACAGAACTGGGCAGGCTGACGAACTCTGGCGAGAAGAAGGTCACATCGTCCCAACTGGCGTCTGTAACCCTGAAATAATTTCAAGTAAATGAACAAATTACAGGACATGCGAAAAAGTAATTTAAATCTCTAGAGTTGACTTACTGCTGCGTGAAGTTAAAGTTAAAGCCATTCATCAGCTCGTTAAACTCCTCGCTCGTTAGGTCAGCGTACTCGTTGATCGCCAGCTTGAAGCTCACCTTACCAGCAGCGAATCGCTGGTTGTGCTCGATAATCGCGTTTCTGTTCTCACTGAACACCTTCAGGCGGAAGCGCTCCTCGGCGGCGTTCTGGTAGATTCTGCGATGCTCCAGAGTGAAATCACGCCATTGCTGATCAAGGACTTGGTCCACGGATGCCGCATTGCTGGCAGCGAGCAGGGCCAAAAGAGCGAGTATCAAGGATTGGCTCATTTTGAAAATTGAAGGACTTTCGAGAAGTTAAAAAATTTAACTCTTTAAGAAGTCGTTCTGCTTTCTGAATATCCACTGATATTGGACGTCTTTTATATACCCGCTAGATAAGTGGAAATAATTCGCATTACACAATTAAACATACGAAGACCACCCAAAAGCTTATCGTTCAAAATATCTCTGACACTTCTTTGGATTATTGCAATCAGATTTCCTAGCAAATTTAGCTTATCAGTTTCTCTTATCAACACATTTTTAATGCTCATAAATATGACATTCTTCCGTATGCGCTTGGTCAATTAAAATGACGCCACTGGAAAGGGGACCATTGATGAATGAATCACTTGTAACAGGTATTCGGTACGTTTTTAAATCAATAATTATAACTATTCTACACAAAGTTAATTTCAACAGATAAACAAACTGTTTAATTATGTTGAAATGTTTACCAACTCCAGCGGACCTGTTTTATAGGGTCGAAGAAAACTCCCTAATTGCGTTTCTGCCAAAAATGTAATACTCTGCGAGGGTATTCTATAAAATTTTTTAAAAAGCGCGCTCATCGTATGTTGTCAAGCGATACTAACGATATCTTCGATTAAGTAAACTGTCATCTCTAACCGATATAAATGGTCACACAAAAAAGCGCCCTCTAGCGGCATGCGACATTGTAGCGCCCTGAAGTCTGCAATGAAAAGTTGACTTTTTTGTGACGGTTATTTTTAAATCTAATAAAATAATGATGAAACTTATAGCTAGTCTTTAATTAATAACAATAACTTTGGCAACATTGTGTATTTCTTAAATATTAATTTAATTTTTGTTGGAATATACATTATGGATTTTCATTTTAATATTTAACATTCTTAATTCCTTCAGTTCTTCGCTCTTTGGCTCTCCCATTCTCTTTCACTCTCTCCCTCTCTCTGTTCCTGTGCCTTCCTTTCGCAACCACCACTCCTAAATCAGCCATAGCGGCGGCATTTACGCCTTCAACCCCTCAAAGGAGCCACGTGCTCGCCGAGCTTTTGGCCTCCTTTCGCTGGCGGCTGGCGAATCAATGAAAGTGAAGCTTTGCCCAAATTAAGCCCGCTCGCAGCCGCCCTCCGAAAAAATTTCCATGCAGAGTCCTGCGTCCTGCGTCAGCGCCACACATATTAGGCTGGTGGTGGTGCGGCATCTGCGTAGTGTGCGTGCGTGAGAATCCACCACCGAAATCCGACAATCCACCACGCGAACAGCAAGCTTCGCGCGGCGCCAAGCAACTCGGATTCAGTTTACAACGGAAAGCACAAATCAACGGTCGTGAAAATCGAGCAAAGCTCCGACACGGAAAACGGAAAAACCCAAACGCAGAAAATTCGTCGAACGAAACGGATTCCCGAACCGAGTGTGCATTTCGCTGAGCGCATAGCCAGTATTTAAACGCAGTTCTGCCAAGTTAATAGAAAAGAAGATTTTCCAGATTAAAATTTAAGCGCAATTGTGCGTCTGTGTGAGTGTGTGTGTGTGGAAAATCCGCCCTTAACAGCAGCCAGGAATTTTTTGGAGTCGCAATCCCGAGAAGCTAAGCCAAGACAAACTTTGGTACGAAACTCTCTGCCTGACGTGTCCTGCCCACCAATACACGCGCATTCAAAGGACCTTTGTCTCTCTTTATCTTTCTCTCGCTCTACCCTCTCTCTCTCTCTCTCTCTGTCCAGAGCTCTTCCTCGTTTTGGCAGAATGGAATAAAAAAAAAATAGCGAGTTTGGTGGTTTGCACGTGGAATTCCATGAAAAGCACTGAACTCTCCCACATGCAAATTTCAATTGTTTCGTGCCTTTGAACACCCAGCGAAAAATCTGCATTTTCGTGCATTCTATTCTAGAGTTTGCATTCCAAAACACCAACAAAGTGCACCTATTTGCACGTTGTCATGGCATATACTACTATAAAAATGTCTATGGGGTATGGCTAACATCAGATTTTGGCAAGAGCCCACGGCAAGTGATTAATCACTTGACCAGACCGACCGGCTGAGGGTAAACAACCATTTTTAATTTGATCTCGAGGGTTAGATAGAGGAAAGCAATTAGAAAACCCCTTATTTCAGGGGAACTTTTCGAAATCTCCGGGGGATTTAGATACAATTTGCATCTCCATACTGTATTTGTTTGGGGTTTACTGAAATTTGGATACAATTCCAAACTTGACTAAAGGTGGAGATTTGATGTTGTGGAGATACGAATTCTCCTGGAGATTTAGTTACAATTTGCATCTATATGACTTTGAATCGATTTTAGATTTTGTTATAATTATAAAGACACAATTTCTACATTGATCCTAAAAACGATATGGATATGTTTTCCCGTTTTATTTTAGAGGATATTTCATATTCTCCTGGAGATTTAAGTAAGGAACAAGGAAAATTACTGATTATTAACTTTAAGAGGTTCGATTTTAGATATTTCTATGAAATGAAGTTACAATTTCTAACTTGATCCTAAAGGGGACAAGAAAAATCATTTAGACAGATTTCAAAATCTCCTGGAGACTTGGGTATAATTTTAAATGTATGAAAGTTTAAAGAAGACTTAATAATACCTACAATTATCACAAACTCTTGCTGAATTTATCAAGTTAATCCTATATTGAAACATTCCAAAATACTTTTCAAGAGCAAACTTGTAATTATTTTGGAGATGCTGATAAAATGCATTGGGGCTGGCAATGGCATTAGCCATCGAGGGGTTGATTTTTGTTTGGTTGCGGAAAGCTCACACCGCCCTTCTCAGCGTCCTCAACAGGCCAACAGTTGATGTTGATGCTGTGCCAAAAAAAAAAAGAAAAGGAAAAGCAAACACGAAAAGAAGGAAGCACAAGAAATTGAACTTTGTGCCTGTCTGATTGCAGGCCACCTTTTCTCTCTCTCTCGCTATCTCTCCCTCTCTCATTGTTTGCCCATTTCTCTCTCTGCAGTGAGAGCGAAAGTTGTGCATGTACGGGGGATATGATATATAGTCTATATAAGGCACTGGCATTTTGGCACTGTGCTCGGCCAGACGAGTGCATGTGACCGAGCAAACGCTCTTGGCTAAAATATTAACGCTGTCTTTGGTTCTTGGGAATAGAAAATATGCTCTTTATTGATTGTTTGCCTGGCTGAAAGGTTAAGTCGCACAAAGGATCTACGCGGCGGGGTTAGAGTGCGAGTCCTTTGGTATTTCTAAAAGCTTACTACAGTAGTTTCAGGAATTGCGATAATAAATTAAAATTAAATATTGAAAATTCGAAATATATATAATATAGTAACTTATATTTATAAGGTCCTTTGAATTACAAATAGTAGGTTTTATCAGTAAACCTTTTTTAAACTCAAATATAATTCACAATAATAACAACAAGCCCATTATTGATTGAGTTGCATGAGGCTTTGCTGGCTTTATTTCCAACGAAATTAAATGTAATTGAATTTCGTTATTTGATTGATTGAGCTTACCTTGTGCAAAACTAATGATTTGCCAGACAAAGCAAACGTTTTTTTATAACAAAAGAAAAGGTATTTTATTCGTTTCTTATAATAAAAGTTACTTCTGTTTTTAAATCAAATATAAACAGCTATTGTTTGAATTATATATAATTTTCTGAGTATCTCAGCAAACAAATCATATTTTTCCTTTGGAATAACACTTGAAACCCATTACTCTGCTCTTCTAACCATAAACTGGTTAAAACTGACTGAAAACTTTCCATCAGCTGCGTTTATTTACATAATATTGTTGCAAAAACAAACCGTCCTTCGATAGAGCAGCAGCAGCTGACCAAGGTTAGGCGTGCGTAAACAATACGGACACTGAGGCGAAGACGAAGCTCCAGACGGGAGCTGGAACCCAACACCGCGGCTGAGCGGCAAGGGGTTTCCCTCATTTTCAGTAATCCTGACCAAGCAGGGGCTTATTGCTAGGCGACTATGCCCGAGGATGCACACATCGAAGGCAGGGTATCAAGGTCAGGCGGAAGCGGAAGTGCGGGTGTTTTTTTTTTGGGGCTGGCGGTCATGTCCTCGCTGGATTTTCGGCGCAATGCTCGCCTTGGCGCCAAACGATGGCCAAATCAATTACTATTCTGTTTTCCTCTCCTTTTATTTTTTAGGAAAAGGGCCAAATTGGCAACAGAGCCACTTGCGCAATGGGGTTTTGTGTGTATTTCGAATGGATCCCAAAATAGCCACAAATATGGCACTAATAGTTGGCATTTTAAGTTCAAGAGCAGCGTTTGTGAGCGTTTTTGAGCTATTCGCACTGCGAATATTATTCATGTGTGGCGTAAACAAAAACCCCAATGTATGAAATGTGCAAAATCGATTGCATAAACACAGTGTATTTCATTGGCAATCAAACTCAAACCGGTTTAGGCAGAATAGGAAAAGACAGCTGCCTGTCCCACCGCACTTTCCATTTTCCAATCCCACCCATGCACCTTCCTCATTCTGTATATTGCTTCTTATCGATTTAGCCTGGAAACACGCCATGTCATCAGATTCGCGATTCCATCGCTCTTTTTGTCCCTCCTTTTTTGTTTTAAACTATTTCGAGGGCACTTTAACCCGGGAAGAAGCTTTAATTTTATTCCGATTCCCTGACCCGCGAGAGATGAAAAGGGGATGAACTTGTTTTTTTTTTTCGGCATATCCTTTTGCTGCGACGCAATTCTCTTGGTCCTTTGTGTATTTTTATATAGGGATTTAAGGGCACAAAGCTTTCCTACCTGTGTGTGAGTTGCTTTGTGGTAGCTGGGTATTTTTTAGTGTTTCTCCTGGTAAATTTCCATTCATTTAAATTCCACCCGGAAATGTTTTCTTAGCTTTGAATATTCGCACACTGTGCACTAAGAAAAATATAATATTAAATGCTATTACAATTTGACAATTTTATATGTATATAAATATAAAATTTGAATGAAACTCTTTTATTATTATGATTTATCTTAAATATTTTTGGATGAACAGCAACATTTAACAAATAACTTTTATGTTATAAAAACAAGCGGAAAACAGTTAATTTAGTATTAAACTAAACATCAAACATACTAAATTAAGAAAAGAAAACCTTTGTTTTTGAAGCACTCTTAAATAGCTTACAGAAAATGCTTACCTGAAAAACCTTTTAAATCTTGAAGTATCCCAAAATATTTATCTTCTCTGTAAAATCCCCATTAAATATTAAGTTATTCCACGTGTTTGGATAAACAAGGGAATTATGTAAGAGAGCAGCCACGGGATCTCCGTTATCCAATTACATCCTGTCAAAGCCAATCAGGCGCACTTTGTGGCCATCAATCTTGACCCCTCATTGAGTAATTTCCTACGCCAATGGCTTAAGCATTGTGTTTTTAGCCAAAGTGGGCTAAGCCGTTCCAATGACAGGGCCATGGCCGCTACATCCTGGCCAGAGCTTTATTTAGAAAAGCCGGTGACTGCGGGTAAGGGGTGGGTCGTGGTATTCCGAGCAAGTTGCGACGCAAAAAGCAACAGCACAACAATCACAGGACTTTAATATTTTCACACACTCGTCGGAGGTTTACGTAACAGCAACCGGATTGTGTAATCAGTCCGTCGCCCGCTGAGTTTTACCCCGAAGATGTCAGAGGATGTCGGAGGTCTAGGTGCTGTCGGAGGTGTCTCCAGGGGTGGACAAAGTGCATACGGACTGTCGGTGGTCCTGTGATTATTGACCATTTCCATGCAATTTAATCAGAGATGCGGCAGCTTGAGGCTATAATTTTTGGTTTGTGCATCCGGGTGATACATTCTGTGGCGTGGCAATAAATGGGTAAATATTTATACCGAATGGGCGGCAGAAGCGCAATCCGCACAGCCATCAAAAGACGTCATAGCGCATTACGTATACGCAGGGTATGGCGGAATAGAAAATGAATATAGGAATAGAGGGGGAGTGTATCTGTGATGGAGGTGTGCGTTCCCCTTGGGCCACTCCGCTCCCATGTGCCCATCAATGAAGCGGCAGGACGCCAAAAGCTCCTCCGCCGAGCTTTCCTCTCTCTCCGAGTGGTGGATTTCCCTCCGATAGCTGCTTCTTGCCACACAGCTGCTGCTGCTGCTGCTGCGAGCAACACACCCACGCTGAAGCCATCTCTTTCTCGTGGCGCCACTTACTGCCACGCTCTCTCTCTGGCTTTAATTTACTACGTCAGCAACAGAGGACGAGCCTCCAAGTAAATAGCCACCACATAGACCTCCTCTGGCCCAACCTCTGCCTGCCTTGCTCTTTTTCGGGGCTGCTCTTTCAATTTACAACGACCTTCTGCGGTAGTCAACACAGTTTTTGGCTCGCCTTTACACCGAGCAACAAGGTTCAGGAAGTCACGTTTCAGGGGTACCAAGTGGGTGGCTTAGGTTTATCGATATTTAACCATGATTTGCGACTTGAAATAAAGATGTAAGGGCTTAAAGGGACATCGATTCCGGTCTAACCTTCTATGAATATTTGCAAAATTTAAACTTTTAAATGCTAAACTATTTTGTTAACGTTAATGAGCTTCTTAAAATTCTATTCCTCTGATAGTGTAACTTAATATAGTTCCCCTTTTTACCTTTTACATCAAGAGGCCACCTTGTTTCACTACCTCGTTTTCAGTCCCAGGAGGTCCTTTTTTGTTTTTGTGCAGAAACTAGGGATCCAATTAACCCACGACCCCTGACATTCATACGTGCCTGAACGAAGCATACATATTTTGGGAATCTGAAGCGAATGAATTAGCGTCAAGGAATTATGCAGAAACTAATAAACACACATGCTGTGTACACACTCCACGGACCGAAACCGAATTTGCATAGTAATGAAATTACGAAAAAGACAGAAAATAGGAATGAGACTTTCTGGGAAAGTTTCCATTAACCAGGATGGAACCCGCCTGATGGCAAACAATTAGGAACCAAATTGAGTTAGCAGCCACTAGAAGGCGGTCTCAAGGACAAACCACCACACAAATGGGCAAATAAAGCCGCATTCATGCACACTCACTCAGGGATACTCGAGGAGTATCGATCAAACAGGCGACCAATTGTAGTGTGCCTCTTCCTAACCGATTGCTCCACTTTTCCAGCAGGTAACCACGGACCCGGACACGGACACTTCGCCAGGTAAATCCGCACGTTGATGGCTGCCACCAAAATCATCGATGCGCCGCGCAACGGCCACGAAATGGCGCCACTGAACACACGGGCCCGGGGAGATGGAACCCACGGAGTGACCATCGTCCTCACAGCGCCGCAGCGCAACTCCGTGCAGTCGGTGGACATCCCTGGCGGGGAGCCGGAGCGTGCCGCCTGGAGCGGCAAGATGCAGTTCTTCCTCAGCATCATTGGCTACTCGGTGGGTCTGGGCAACATCTGGCGCTTTCCCTACCTGTGCCAACAGAATGGAGGAGGTGAGTAGGGGAAGAAAGTTTTAAGTCTTTTAAAGTTAAGTAGTCATAAAGATAACAAGTCAAACTACTGTTTTACAACGCATATTTCTTAAAGAACTTTAGGATAGCTAAAAGCCAAATATAAATCTGATTAGTTAGCTTTTCTGTATGAAATAATACCTATTCGATTACCTATTCAATTCTTGTCCCTGCCTGAGCTGGCCTGGAATGTATCGCAGAGACTCGGATTACGAAAAGCGCCAACTGCTGCAGAATTGTTCAATCAATGTCTGGTCGGCCTGCACGCGTCAAGCGAGCGATAACGCCAAAATGGGTAATAGCCCTCCCCAACCCCACTTCGGCCCACCTGTCACATTCCATATGCGGTATATCCAATATCAGGTGGCCAACGAACTGCAGCTAATCAGGTGCACGGCTCTAATAATAACATTATGGGATTTAATGTGCACTAATTGCACGGCTTTCGACGGCGGAAGGGCCCAATTGGCGGCCTTGGACCGGGTGAGCTCTGAGCACGCACCATTCTAATGGCGAGCCAACCCCACCCTGCTTTTAATTCAATTACAATTACAATTGACAAGGTGACGGAGGCATCGAATCCGGAATACTCTCTAGTTTCCAGCTCTGCCAGCCAGATATTTCCCGCCCCGACCAGAAATGCAAATTTCCGGCCTGCTGCGCATTGATTTTGTGTCGGGTTCGCTTGTCAATCAAGTGGATTTGCACAAAAAATGGAAATTAACAAATGTTGAAGCCATTCTTCCACTCTTCTGTCATTCCAATTAGAGTAAAGTGAAAGTAATTAATTCATTTTAAATAAATAAATAAAATAATAAAATGTGTCTAATTCCCAAAGAGCCTCTAGTTATTTAATATATAACTTCAAAATGAGCTCGAATTTTTATTGATAATTTAAATATAATTCCGGGTTTTTATTAGGATATTAAATAAATATATATTATTATAAAATCTTGAAAAATAAAAGTTGTTTCTTTAAAAAGTTAAAATTATTCAATTCAATCTTAAAACATTTTAAAGCTTAAAATTATTTGTAAAGTTAAATAAGCAATATATGTATTATAAATTAACACCCTTTTTGTATTATTTTCTCATATATTTTCTCTGGCTTTCCCCATTCCAGGTGCCTTCCTGATACCCTTCATGATTATGCTGATACTGGAGGGCATACCCCTGTTTCTCATTGAGCTGGGCATTGGCCAGAGAATGCGATTGGGTGCGCTGGGCGTGTGGAACACTATCCATCCCTGGCTGGGAGGCATTGGCATCTCGTCGTGCATTGTGACGCTATTTGTGGCTCTCTACTACAATGTGATTATCACGTGGGTGTTCTTCTACCTCTTCAATAGTTTTCGGGTGAGTGGGGAATTGGATTTTGAAGTAGCTAAACGCTTATATTTTATTACTTGCTCCCCTGCCTCCCATAGTACCCACTGCCCTGGTCCACCTGTCCCACAAACAGCACGGGCTTCGAGCTGGAGGAGTGCGCCAAGTCCTCGGAGACGACGTACTTCTGGTACCGCACCACCCTGGATGCCGCTCCGTCCATGGACGAGCCCGGCGGCCTGAAGTGGTGGATCGTGCTCTGCCTGCTGCTCTCCTGGACCATTGTCTTCTTCATCGTGATGAAGGGCATCCAGAGCTCCGGCAAGGTGGTCTACTTCACCTCCCTGTTCCCCTACATCGTGCTGACCATCTTCTTCATACGCGGCATTACGTTGCGCGGCGCCGGGGCCGGGTTGATGCACATGTACACGCCGAAGGTGGAGAAGCTACTAGAGCCGACGGTCTGGCTGGATGCGGCCACCCAGGTCTTTTACTCATTTGGCCTGGCCTTTGGGTCCCTGATAGCCTTCGGCAGCTACAACACGCCCAAGAACAACTGTGTGCGGGACGTCCTGCTGGTGTCCGTCTGCAACGCCGTCACCGCCATCTATGCCAGTGTCGTCATCTTCGCCATTCTCGGTTTCAAGGCCACCGTCAACGTGGACCGCTGCATAGCCAGGTGAGTCGGGCTGAGAACTAGAACGGGAACTGGGAGTGGGAGTGCGTCACACGCATCGGTGGTCATTAATAAGCCGACCCAAGCGACCGACCAGTTGTAACCGGCGCAGGGCGACCGCCGCCTTTGTATCCATTTGCGTATCAATGAGGGTGTATCTCCCTCTCGGAATCGATACACGGCATCGATGGAATCGCGGTCGTGTCTGTCAATTTGCATCAATTAACGGACCCGGGCCTACGTTGAGTTATGCACAATTGCTCTTGAACCGCCAGTCAGTGTCCATCGACGGGTTTGAACCGATTTCATCCGGAATTGGAATTGATTGTGATTCTCCCTGCCCTTCTGCTCTTCCCTCTAGCAACACGGAGATCCTGGTGAAGAGCAATCTGCTGGCCAGGAATGACACCACCACAGTGGCCTACGAGCATGCCATGAGCCAGGTAAACACCACGGAGCTGTCTCGTCTGCAGCTGAGCGAGTGCAGCCTGGCCCACGAGCTGGACAATGTGAGTACTGTCTAATAGGAATTTTGCAGTGGAAGCTAGAAGGGATTACTCAGAGTTCTATATTCCACCCTCCCCCTAGGCCGCCGAGGGCACGGGCTTGGCCTTCATCGTCTTCACGCAGGCCATCGTGGAGCTGCCCGGAGCTCCCTTCTGGGCGGTGCTCTTCTTCACCATGCTGCTCTCGCTGGGCCTGGGCTCTCAGATCGGCATCCTGGAGGGCATGCTCTGTACTCTGTTCGACATAGACATTGTCAAGCGGGTTAAGAAACAGCATGTCACTGGCGTGGTGTGTCTCTTCTGCTTTATTGTCGGCTTCATCTTCTGCACAGGTGCCGGCGAGTACTGGCTCAAGATGTTCGACTCCTTTGCCGGCACTATTGGCCTGGTGGTGGTGGCCCTTATGGAGATGATAGCGGTGATCTTCATCTACGGACATGAGCGGTGAGTTGGGAGTGTTTTTTACTCTTTTAGAGCAACGAACCCTAAAGGACGCTGATCATTTTCCAGCTTCACCGAGGACATTTACCAGATGACGGGCTACCGACCCGGCCGGTACTGGCAGTGGACCTGGAGGTATATTGGCCCCGTCATTATGGTGTGCATTCTGGCCTCCTCCATAATCTTTATGGTCATCAGGAACCCCACTTATGGAGCTTGGAATGCCGACTTGGTGAGTGGAAGCAAAATCTTCTTCTAACTCGAATGCAAATATATTACCTTATTCCTTAACCAGGGCATGATTGAACAGAAGGACTACCCCAACTGGGTGATGGGCATTGCCCTATCCATGATCCTGGCCGGCGTTTTGCCCATGCCCATTGTGTTCCTGATGCGCAGCTTCCAGTGCCTGAAGGTGGACCTGGACATCCACCAGGGATCGATCCGGCGAAACGAAACAACCGCCTCCACCAAGGAGATGATCGACAACGATGACGATGTAAGTGAGGACCCCGATCCGGATCGATTCGGTCTGGACTTGGGCTTTCTTTGTGCCATTCGTTGTGTTGTTAGGCTAAGTTACTTCTAAGCTCATCTCTTTCTATCTCTCTGGTCTTTACGTGTGACTAATTGTGTCTTTCTCTCACCTAATGATCCACTCCTCACTCTTGCGCTTGCTCCTTCTATTTGACAATGCTTACATCCAAATACCGATCTATATCGATTGCATAACCAAAACTCACGCCCATTGTTCAGAACATGAGTCCGGATATGCCACCGCAAGATTCACTAGCGGCGACACGCTTCACTATTGGAGACTTTGAAGTAAGTTGTGTCCTCCTCGTCCTCGGCTAGAAAGGATAGACGAGGTCCACCCTGAGCCACCTCCTGCACACACTAACGCTAATCACACAATTCTCTGCTCTTCTTCCCCTCTGCTCCCACCCATTGGTCAATGTTTTAGAATTAGAACGAACCAAAATCCTGGAGAGACGTACTTGAGGGCAGCGCCAAGTTTTAACAGAAACACAAAATCAAACCAGACACTAGGATAACCCCGAAACACTCAAAAGACACACTCAAAAAAACGTTTGGACAGTGCTAAATTCCACGCGTCAACTCAAGTAGAAACCAAGTGCTCATCCATCAGTTAGCAAGCAATTACCTGTACTCAAGACACCAAGAACTAATGAACGCACAGCAAATACTCGTAGCTAGCCAGTCAAAAAAGCCGAACTAAGTTAAACCAAGATGCTCTTTTAAACCGAAACGAAAACGAAATCGAAACTGAAGAGTCCAGAACAATTATTTACCGGAGGGTTAGGTTTAGGTTTAGGAAAGAGACTAGCTAATCGCTTGTGTGTGTGCTTGAACCTAGGGCCATGCGTGTACATAATATGTGTACTATTACACATATATATAGCATATATCGAATTTGGCGGCTGATCGAGGCCCATATACAGGTAAAGTAACTGTGCGAGAAGCCGACTTTCCATTTACATTTCCTTTGTTGGTTTGTTCGTTCGTTTGTTCATTGTTTTCGATGTTTTTACCCGAAAGACAGGATACAGACCCTGTAGCTTTACTGTATCTATCTTTACCTACATTTTACTTAACTTATGTTTTTGTTTGTATTGTACATTTCCCTGCCGCTGAGAGCCACCTGCTGGCCGTGTAGAGAGCTTTCGCTTGGGCTTGTGTAGAATATCAAGTATACGCAGCGTGGTGTCAGCTCATTTGATTTATGTTTTATCATTTTTCGTAAGCAACTCTTGATTTCCTAAAGGACTTTCCCTGCCTGTCATATTTTATGGTCCCCCTATCATTTCTCTATCCCTTTAGGAGGACGAGGACGACGAGAATGATTTTAGCGGTCCGGCGCTGGGCGGCCATGTGAAGACGCAGAGCGACTTCTCCGACGACGAGGAGGAGGACAAGCCCATGACCATGCGGATGATGATGATGCGTCCGACGACGACCGCCAAGACAGCGAATGTGCTGAATGTGCCAACCAGCAGAAGGCCGAACTTCAAGAAGGAGGCGTACGATGTGTAGGGCAGCCGCAGTCCCCCAGGTACAAGATACAGGTAGAGTCCAGGTGCGAACCGAAAAGATATGGCAAGTGAACCCTACTATAGTTGAGACGACGGGAGCGCAAACACATTTATAAATATTTACTCTAAGTATTTTAACATAATTTAAAGCTAAACTAAGTGATTACCGATTACCAGAATAAACGACCGGAGGAGCTAATTGAATTCGAGTTCGAGTAACTAAAGTTGTTGACTACTGATCCAAGCCCAAAACTAAACTTAACTAAATTTAAACAAACTATGTACGAGTACAATGAGAAATTCATTAACTGACACGGGTTGCTAAGAGTTTAAATTCGATTATGTAGCATTTAGTTGGAATGCTTTAAGCTTTACAATTAGACACTCGAGCACACAAACTGAAAGTATTTCTGAGTCCACGCCCCCCTCCTGTCCAAATACCATTCCTCCAGCCCGAATTCCTGTCCCGCCCCCAACTCCCACGAATACACTTCTGCGGCAAACGCTTTATAGTCGACTTAGCCAGCGCATTTCCAACGAGTTAAACTCAACATTTAGTTTTAGTTCTAGTAGAGATCTGCCGTTATAATTTTGACTTCAAGTTGAACTCTCCCGAGTGCGAGTATATACATATATGATGTAATCTAAACCGAGTTACACACTTTAATCTTACTTCAAACAGGTTAAGCGCGTTGAGACACCCTATTAACACTCCGAGTTCTAGTTGAGTTGAACAAAACTACCTATACTTACTATATTGATTAGACAAAGATACATGGAATGTGTGATATTCTAAATAATATCCTCAAAACTTAGGTCTTAAGAGTCTTCATCAGCCCCAGCCCCAGACCCAGCTCCCAGCTCTTTTCCCCCATTCAAGAGTATTTTCCCACACCGACACTGAACTAAGCGAAATGGAAACAAAAACAAGTAAATAAACTGCTGTGAATAGTTTTAGTGGTTGTAAAGTTCTATCGGAGAAGGGAAACCATAAAGCGTCTAATATTTAACTAGTTATTAAGCCGCACCCCATTGTTCGCCCCCCTGAGTTGGCCCCACCAGAAGATGCGACGACGAGTCCTTGCCACATTTCCAAATTCGGTTTCTGCAAATGGTTTTCACACACTCTCTCACACTCCTCCCCGCAACTCTCTCTCTCATTTCGGTTAAGGCAAGGCACCACTGATTTCCGATTTCCGGTATCTGATATCCGATATCTGATATCCGATATTTGAGAGGCGACAACTGAATCAAAACACATGGAATTTTCAAGTACTCAAAGTCAATGCAAAGGACAAAGGACGGCAGAACGTCGAAGACAATAAGACAATTATAGGAAAAATACTTATGAAACGGCCCCGTCGAGTTTAGAGAGATTTGTAGTCCCCGACTAGGGAACCTTTCCCCTTGAACCCCTTATTTTTGGGAGATATGCATGCATCCGTTTTGTACACCACAGACAGCCGATAGTTAGCCGATTTGTACGTACGTTTTATTGACTGTAACTGTAAAGAATGAAGGCATTAGTTCACCTCCAGCAGCAGCCTCATCCACTCAAGTCCAAGAATCCTCGCAATGGCAGACAACGCTACCAAAACCGAAACCGAAACCAAATACATAGTACCAAGCCTAAGTGTATAGTTTACTTGTTTACGCCACTATATATACGAGCATGAATCTATATATATATATACACACTACATATAATCTATATACCTAGCTCTACCATAATTATGATATATCAATTATTGTCGTAGTGCTAAAGCCCAGAGCGAGATGTGTAAATTTGAATGTATTTAAAAATAACAGAAACACTGCAAAGAGAAGAATACTTATATGAAACATTATTGTACCGTACGCAAGAAATTATTATTAATAAAGATATTTCAAAATTTAGAGTGTTAAGTTGAAGAAGAGCAAAACGAAGCAAGAGTTTATTTTATTAATGGGGGGTTTTTACGGGTTCTTCGAAGCGAGGTCCTTCTGTATCCCCGCTGGCACGTTTAACGCTTGACAGACGCATCTGCAGATTGGACGATCCGCATTTATTGGATTTTGATAGACGACACAATGTTTTGTATTTGGTTTTCTGCCCCCTTGGTCAAAGCACCTTGGACTGGGACTGGGACCGAGAGCTAAGAATCCCCGATTAGGCTTATCGCCCAGGGGAAAGTTTCGCTTTGTTTTGCTTTCTTGCCTCAAGGAAACATATGATTGGGCAAGTCAGGCCCCTTGGGATACTTCCAGTTTTCAGTGCACCAAAGGGAGAGTTTTCTCTGGGCTGACCTTGGCGGGATTGGCCATGTGGCTTGCCCGTCTTTTTTTTTATTGGCAACAAGCATCGTAAATGGCATTGGTCTATAAATATGCTAACACAGGTAAAACGATAATGACCACCGTCTGGAAGCCACGTTCGATATGGCTGAAATGATAAGCCAAATGCAGGGGGGGAGACACAAATTAATTTGTTAAAACACCGCACTCGGAATAAAAATACTCCGAGTACAGGAAACGGGTTAGCAAGATGCCTTCGTGATAATACCCTTACTTCGGTTGAAATAATTTAAAAAGTATTTTTTAGAAATTTATAAGCATCATCATTGTGAACTTGAAATGTATTTTAAAGTACTATATTTTTAGTTTTCAAACTTTGTGGAGTCTTAAGATGGTTTCAAAAGGTTTTTTTTTCTTGCAAATATGAATATTTTAGATTCTACACTATCTAGAACACTGAATTTTTTAGTCTTTAGTCTTTGATTCTGGTATAACACTATTTTCCTGTATTGCCTTAGTTTTATATTTTTCTCAGAAAAGGTAAATATATTGTAAAAAATATTGGATTACTTTTCTAAAAAAATGTTTAGCTTATTTTTTAATATCTGTCACCAAATGCACAGACTTTTTTCAACGTGTAGACACAGATCAGCCATGGCGTAACCTGTGTGATAAGAGCCACCGGCGCAGACATTGCAAAAGTCTCCCGCGGACCGGTTGTGAGGCAGGTTACTCTGCTCCAGGGGGGCGTGGCCTGGCCAAAGACTCCTCTGGGTTCCTCCAGTGCTTTTCCAGCCGCCGGGTGACTATGCAGTGGGCGGCACGTAATCCGTGGCAAGTGCAGCAACTGTCGAGTCGCGTCTTATCTTATCGGAGCGACACTACTCTGCGTGTGCCCCAGCCATGAGAACCGAATCGAAACCGAAATCGAGGGGCAATCAGATCAGACCGCCCGAGAGCGCGGGAGCGGAGCCAGAGACCCAACCGAAAAGGCAAAATGCTCGACACATGTTACTTGAGCGCAGCGAGTGCCGCATGAAGTCAGTTTGGCTCGTTGTGCCAGCGCAGCAACAAGTGCCCGCTATATCTCAATCCGAATCCGAATCCGTGGTGGTATCTGCATCTGCAGCTCAGCATCTGATTCCGAACGCGAGGCTGAAACTTAAGACGAAACCGAAGCTGAATCTGAATCTGAAGCGCCTCAAGTGCCCCAGAGAGTTCCACGCTCACTCAATTGGCGAAAAGTGCATTTGACGCTGCTGAATAAATTCAAATTAAGTCGGCAATTTCATCACATTAACAGCGGAGGGCCCAGCGGAACGGAAGGAGAGCGATAAATTAATTAAGGCGGAGATAAAACTGCAACTGCGCCAAGAAAGTGAAAGCGACCGCAGTCGCCGCTGCCAGGTGACAGAATGCTGCTCAGGGGCGCACAACTGCTGGGATGCGGGTGAGTCCGATGGCATTCTGCGGGATTCCCACGAGGCGGTGTATCGACAGGTTGAATGGGTGGCACAGTTGTAATTAGCAGGAGGTTCGACTGATCGATACCCTGTGTTTTAAAGAGAAGCCAGGAAACCTAAAGAAGGTCTGCTTATCAACTTTTTTCTTCAAATTGGTTAGAAATCCACTGAAAAGTATTTGGAAAATCTGCAACTCAAAATACTTTGGTATTGATTTTATACAGCCTATATCAGACCTTTAGCATTGAACTTAAGGGGAGAATAGGTTTTTATCCATGAAACTATATTAGTTCCCTCAGGTTTGTACTGGAAATGCCCCCTGGCTCCCAAGATATCCACAAACACTTGAAGATATATTTATATTAATCAACTGCTAATCTAAACTAAACTAAAACAATAATTTGATTAGAATTTTGGTATTTCGGTACATCATCTAATCATCGAATCTTATGAAAGTGGAATTCAGAAAACGTAAACAGCTCTTATCTTCTGGGCGACCATATTAATTCAAATTGTTTATAATCACTAGTGGGCAACATATTTATTTGGAAGCATTCACTTAGTCTTAGAACATTTCTGTAAGATCATTTAGTTAACCCTTGGAGAAAGACATCTGGAAAAAAAGCTTTGTCTAATAAATTATAAGTGACATAAGAAATAATCTGTCATGTTGATTAAGGCCCATTTTGTACACTCAGTAATTGTGATTATATAAATTAGTAGATAGAGAGCACTCAAAGAAAAATGGGTAAGCTACTTATGCTATATTTGTTTTCAAATTAATTTGGTATGAGTATTTATAAGATACTTATAACAAATCTATAAAAGTTAACTTTGATTCCTATTTGAAGATATTACAATTTTACTTACTAATAACTTATATACCCTAAAACCCCAACTAAAGGGTGTAAAATACCAATTAGTTGGCATTGTGTGGTCTGCTTGGCTTACAAGCTCTAAGGTAAATCCAACATTAGTATTCATTAGTAACTAACCTACCCCAACTGAGATTGGTTACGACTAGTTTCTGATTCATTCCTATAGTGTGGCGGGAAAATTCCACACCCTGCGAGACCCTCAGCGTCTGTTACACTTTCATTCACGACGTAAACAAGCATCAGTGCCTTACTATAATCATTCGCCGCCCATCAATGTTAATGTCACTCGTAGCTCCAAGATCATTGCACTCGCCGCTCTCAGCTTCTGAAGCTAAATATATATACATACATACATATATACATATGTGTGGAAAAGTACTTAATCTCTCAGCTGTCCAGACACTCGAATAAAAAAAAGCTTAAACTTAGTTACAAATGTGTTTAAAGTTGAGATATTTAAGAAACTTAAGAAACTTGTCATTAAAATTTTACTTGTTTATTCTTGGAAGCAAAATACTATTTAGTAACAGATGTTATTTTTATTTAAATGCTTATTTCTTATCATTTTTCTCTCGTATTTCCTGATAAGTGTTCGCACCTTTCCGTTGCCTACTTTTAGGTGGCGGGTGAGTGACCAAAGCCCTACAAGTTTTCTTTTAGCGCCTGGCCGTATGCAACACTTGCCTCTTACAACTTTGGTTTTCCGTACAAAACGGAAAACTTTTCAAAAATTGGTTGTGGCGAATGGGCTAAAGCTAGCTAAATGAATTAAATATCATATAATAACACAACATTTGAAGAATTTTTGTAAATTTTTTTATGTAAAAATATTTAGAAGTATAGAAGTAAAAGGGAATCTTCCGAGTGGCCTCCAAGAAAAGTTGGTTATAATATTTTGTTAAATGAAAAATATAATAAAATTTAAAATTAGAAAAATCCCGATGTGAGTACTTGAAGAATTTGTCAAAGAAGCTGTGTGCCAAATTTCAAATTAAACATTACAAATTAGGAGAGCTTTAAACTATTTTAAACTCATACATTGAACACAAAACAACCTCCATTTAGCTATGCATAACTTTGTAAATTTTGTTATGATCGATGTAAAACTTTAACAAAATATTCTAAAGATATTAAACATTTATAATAAAAAAAAAAAACAAAAAAATATAACGAAAAAAAATTAAATATTATACCCCTCTTAATGAAAAGCTTTCCGCGTTCCCGCCTTTTGCTTTGTTCGGTCTTTATCAGCTCTTCTCTTGTTTTTTTTTTCTTTTTATTATTTTTGTAGTTTTGTTTTGGCTCGTTTTTCTTTGCTGTTTGAGTGTATAGGTGTTTGATCAAGTGGCTCGACTGGCTCTGCCTCCCTTTTGCGTGTGTGTGAGGCCATTAGGCGTAATCAAGCAAAAAATAAAAACAAAGCACTGCATGTGTGGGTTTTTGAGGCCGCCTAGCAACAACTCGAATCTTTGTCCCCGCCTGTTGACTGTTTTCGTTTTTTGGCTTCTGTTTTGCTCTGGTGGCGTGTGGGGGAGGAGGAGAAGAAGAAGAAGAAGAGGCAGTTGTTAAAAAAGCCACTAAACGGAGAAGAGAGGCACTAAAAAGCAGAGTCATGGCTCATCAGCAGCAGTTAATTTCCCCAGGTATCCCTAAGATACTTGTATCTTTGGCTCGTATTTTTTTTTTGTTCCAAGCTTCTGTAGCTCCTAGTAGCTCCCAGTTGCTCCCAGCAGCTGGCTGCCATTGATGATAACCTTTAGACACAGCGACGACAGCAGCAACGACGACGTTGAAGACAACAAAAATATTGTTGTTGACACCGAAGCTATTTCTTTTTTCCTCTCTTTTTTTTTTTAGGCCGAGCCCCCATGGCAAAATTTTGCCATAACACAAATAGCATTATTTATGCATGGCAGGAATCAAAACAATTCACTTAAATGTAATTGTTCGGCGGGTTTTAGCATGTTATTTCTGCTTATCGGCTGGCACCGGGGCACGCGCCTTTCCCAAGGCCCCTTCGATCAGTGATTTATATGAGAATTATAGGTAACAAGGCTCGCCTATCAGTTAATGGTTTGTTTACCACATATTCCCCGAATTCCCAGAAACTTCTGCCAGATAAGATTTCCCCCTTTGCATTTGATATTGTGACGCTTCTTCAATTGTAATGTGCCCCGAACTGAGTCACCCCATTGATTAACTAGGCTCCAGTCAAGCGACAACTATTTCCAATTACCTCTGGAGTGTATTCTCCGTGTAATTCATGGAACTAGTTGGGGGAGACAGCCAGACCACGCTAGACCGGACCAGACCGACCATTACCTTATACACCGTACTATATTCGCGGAACACTTTAATCTACAAATATGTGGAATATATGGGGTATGTGGGAAGCGTGGGCTGTCTGGGATCCGCTTATCAGTCGGTAAACAAAATACGAAATTAGCTGGACTTTGATATGCGGTAATGAGCTCTCTCTATACGTACAAACTATCCTCCAGTCTGGGTCCAACAATTACCAGTTACGACTGGGTTTTATGCCACAAATTCTGCGTAGTTTATTGATGAAAGGAATTCGTCAGCCCCATAATTTCTTATAGCCACGGAATTACTCACGGGTTCTTTTGTTATTTTTAAATATATTTTTTATAAATAAAGTTCCCGTTGGCATTCATAGAAATATAGACAGAGTGTGCCAATGACGTCCATCATAATCTGGCTAATGGAAAACTTTTCATCCCATCAAGTGATAGTGCAGTTTCCGCGTCATTACTACATTGTAAATAATAAAAAACAATTAAGGAATCGTCACTTCTAATGAAATAACACGCGCATTTATTCGGGGAATAAGTATTTCAATTTTATATTTACTATATTGAATGAACATCTCTTCAGCTCTCTGAGTTACTCATAAAAAGTGACCAATGGATCCTCCTGCTGATAAGCCGCAGATTGGGGCTGCCCTTCGCCTCCATTTGATACCCGATTCTTTTATTGGACTTGAGGCGTAGGGCCAGGGCTAATGAACCCTCTTTTTACTGATGGAACCAGTTTTGTTTATTTCGTCAGACTGCAAGTACAGTTTCGAGGTTTTTTTCGGGAAAATATATATATTTATATGTAGCTGAATCAGCTGACACCCCCATGACTGTTGCCAAGCGTTTTTGGGGGAAATTCTGTATCACTACAAGTACTATTTATAAACAGATATGTTCTTTTTCCATATTAAAACACACACACATTCATGAAACACGCGCTGGCTGAAAATTCAACATATTTTTACGCGGCTTTTTGCAATAAAAAATACAAGAAAATAAGTAAACACAGAAAAAACAAACGAAAAGTAAGCAATACGAAGTTGGAAGTACCTACCTCATTAGTTTTTATTTTGTTTTAAAGTATAGCTTAGCCATTGCTTATCTACAAGATTCAGATTAAGAAAACTCTAATTCGATTTTTAAGATTTTATTTTTAATTGTACAGCTGCTATTACTAAGAATCTCTTAGTACTTCTTTTGTTAGAGTATTTTAAAGAATCAAATCCGAACTGTGCGGAGTGGTCAGCATTCGTGGCGTCATTGGGACAGAACTGCCAAGAGACTCTGAGGAAGGGGACTACAGGCTAGTGTACGTAGTGGTTGCCATTTCGAAAGGCCACGAGACATTCTCTGTTATCTCCCAAAATAGCATCGAATACGCAGCAATTTCAGCTTCCAATTCTGGCGCGTGGCCCTAATCAAAGAGGCGCTGGGACAACTCGAGTGCTGCTCAAATAATTAGCTTAGCTGCCGCCTCGCTGCTGCTGCGGTTGATAGTCCAGAGTTTGGTGATTTCGGTGGGATTCGGAATAAAGCGGTTATCGATTCCACCATAAATATTGTGGCCGACTATTTGACTAGCATTCCACGCCAGAGAGACCGCGAATCTGGCATTAACTACACACCCTCCAATAACTAAATCAAATAACCGCCCAGATAAAAGCCAGACGAAAGCCACAAAAGCCCCCAAACAAAAGCCAGCCAGAACTGGCTTAATATGATTGAATTAAAATTTAATTTTCACTTAATTTGCGGCCTAATTGGCCACCTTTGGTTGTATATTTTCAAAGCAAAGCCTAGTCTCCTTCGGTTTTATCATTCGCCTCACACGCCCCGAGCATGCAGACGACAGCTTATGCTAATATAAACCAGGCCAGATTGCTCCGATACATACGCATATAGCATACATATAGCGTGTGTGGCGGAGAAAACTGCGCAGTTCCGAAAATATATAAAACATACATTAATTTTGGGTTCAGTCGCTCGTGTGACGTCACAATTGGGGCAACCCTGAAACGCGTGTAAATGATAATTCCGCTGGACTTTGGACCCGGTGTAAGCAGTCGTCTGGCATGTGACTGGGTCAGAGATATCCCACCGATCACTGGTCAGTATCTGGTGTACAACAAGCATATCTGCCGGAAGCGAGCGCTACAGAGTATCGGGGTGTACTTGGTGGCATCTACCTGCTGCCCCTGATCTCTTATCTGCCTCAGACCAAACCAAAACAGAGAACGGAGCAAAGAGCAGAAAGATGATGAAAGATTGCATCATGCAGCCGCAGGGGAACGGGAGCGGGAACGGGGAAGTCTCAGCGGCGGGGAACCCGCTTCTAATGAAAGTGACGTGGACACCACCGACTGGCACCAAGACGACGAAGGTTGGAGCTGGATCCCCAACCCCATCCCCATCCTCACACACAGATCTTTGCGAATTGCCCGCGCAGCAAGTTTCTCGAGTTTTTGGAGTGGAGCTCTCGAAACCAGACCGACCAGACGAACAGCTGATCAGCCAGTTTGGCCGTCTGTCTTTCGCCTTTTATTTGTATCTCAGTATCTTGGTATCGATGTATCTCCGTATCTGTATATCTTTTCCAGCGCTGGCGGTGCGTTACCGCTTAGAATTTCAAATTCACGTTACGAGGCCCACGCCGGTGGTACAGTTGTGCTCGGTTCGGCTAGTCAGCTGAACGGCGACGATAAGCCATGGCGATAGATAAAGTATGGGAAAGGGTCTCTTGAGGTTTAGGTAGCCACGGGAGAGGCATAAAAAGAGTAAAACTCACTCTTACCTTACGTTATCTGTCGATATCTTAACCTAGGCTAATAATAAATATAAATAAGTCAAATATTTGCTAAATAACTACAGGAGTTCCCTTTATTATTTTCTTTCAGCCTGGTCTCCCCAGCCGCCCGAAGCTACAACTTCCGGCTGACCTGCCGCTTCCTGTCCGTTCATTACGGAGACGCCAAGGCACTGACCCCCGCCGTCAAGCAGTATGTGGAGAAGTGCGTGGATCTGTGCAAGCCGGAGCGGGTGCACATCTGCGACGGCACTCCCGGCGAGAGCAAGCTGCTCCAGGGACTCATGCTGAAGCAGGGCACCATCCTGCCGCTGCCCAAGTACGACAACTGCTGGCTGGCCCGCACCAATCCGGCTGATGTGGCTCGTGTAGAGTCCAAGACCTTCATCTCCACAGCCAGCAAGGAGCAGACGGTTCCAGTGACGGAGAAGGCCACACCGGGAATGCTTGGTAACTGGATTTCCGAGAAGGATCTCCAGGCGGCCATCGCCGAGCGCTTTCCTGGCTGCATGAAGGGGCGCACCATGTACGTCATACCCTTCAGCATGGGCCCAGTCGGCTCGCCGCTCTCCAAGATTGGCATCGAAATCACAGACTCCCCCTATGTGGTGGAGTCCATGAAGATCATGACGCGGGCCGGAAAGCCGGTGCTGGAGTTCCTCCAAAGCGGCGATGGCCAGTTTGTCAAGTGCTTGCACTCGGTGGGCACGCCCAAAAGCGGTGTCCAGGCCCAAACATCCTGGCCCTGCGATCCCGAGCGCACTATCATCCTGCACAAGCCCGCGGAAAACGAGATCGTGTCCTACGGATCGGGATACGGTGGAAACTCGCTGCTGGGAAAGAAGTGCCTCGCTCTGAGGATCGGCAGCACCATTGCCAAGCGAGAGGGCTGGCTAGCCGAGCACATGCTCATCCTGGGCATCACCAATCCGCAGGGCAAGAAGATCTACGTTGCCGCCGCCTTTCCATCGGCCTGTGGCAAGACCAACCTGGCCATGATGACGCCCACTCTGCCGGGCTACAAGGTGGAGTGCGTGGGCGACGACATTGCCTGGATGAAATTCGACAAGAAGGGTGTCCTACGGGCCATCAACCCGGAGAACGGCTTCTTTGGCGTGGCACCTGGAACTTCGAGGAGCACCAACCCCATTGCCATGGACACGATCTTCCGGAACTCGGTCTTCACCAACGTGGCCTCCACCTCGGACGGCGGCGTCTACTGGGAGGGCATGGACAAGTCGCAGCTGAAGGACGTGACCGTCACCGACTGGCTCGGCAAGCTCTGGTCGCCTGAGTCGGGTAAGCCCGCTGCCCATCCGAACTCCCGTTTCTGCACGCCGGCCGCCCAGTGCCCCATCATCGATCCTAACTGGGAGGACAGCGCCGGAGTTCCCATCTCCGCCATCCTCTTCGGTGGACGTCGTCCTGAGGGTGTGCCACTGGTGTACGAGGCGAGGGACTGGACCCACGGGGTCTTCATGGGCGCCGCCATGAGGAGCGAGGCCACCGCTGCCGCCGAGCACAAGGCCAAGACCATCATGCACGATCCCTTCGCGATGCGGCCCTTCTTCGGATACAACTTCGGCGACTACCTCGCCCACTGGCTGAGCATGGAGCAGCGCGGCCAGGTGCCCAAGATCTTCCACGTCAACTGGTTCCGCAAGAGCAGCGAAGGCAAGTTCCTGTGGCCCGGGTTCGGGGACAACTCCCGTGTCCTGGACTGGATCTTCCGGCGGGTGGAGGGCGAGCAGTGCTTCGAAGACTCACCCATTGGCCGGCTGCCCGCCAAGGACTCACTGAACGTGGGCGGCATGAACGAACGCATCGATCTCGAGCAGCTGTTCCAGCTGCCCAAGGACTTCTGGGAGCAGGAGGTGGGCGCCATCGAGCGCTACTTCGAGGAGCAGGTGGGTCACCACCTGCCCAGCCCGGTGGCCGAGCAGCTGAAGGAGCTGAAGGCGCGTGTGGCCGACATGTGATGCGTGTGTTCCATAGGTTACTCCCTCCTAATCTAAGACCCTATTGCCTAAAATAAAACGAAGCGAAGCGAGATTTTTAAAGCGAAATTCGACTTTTGGTTATGGTTGGGACTGGGCATTGGGGCGTGGCCTGGTCTTTGGCTTATCGGTGGCCGTCGGGGCGGAGGCCCGTCCGCAATTGGCGTAAACAAGCGTATAAATCCATAATGCCGTTTAACCTGAGTTATCAGCAGATCGGGGCGATGGAAAACAAGCAAATAAAATGCCAAAAGAAGCCAAAAAACTGTTTTCTTTTTCTGTATGAGGGTTGGGTTGCCAAGGCCTGATTGCGCCTCTGGACGCGTGTGGTGTGATGTTCCTTCAAATGGTGGCCAAGTGATAAGAATCCAAAGAGCCAAGAACCTCCCCCCAAAAAAAGAAACAATGAAAGCCAAGAACCAAGGCGAAGAAAGACTAATCCCTAAAATCCGTAAACCCAAAATGAATGATGATTTTACATTGGAAATTTCCTGGTCGCCGCACAGATCCGGGTGCCTTCGATCTATATTTAGACGAACCCAGAGGCTCGTCCGCTGATAACCCGTCGCCAGAGACTGTCCCACATAGCAGCCAAGCAGATCGCATATTGATTATGTATATTTCCCGGCCCCTTCTATTGACGTAAATCTTTCGTAAAATAAAGCTCAACTCATCGAAATGCGCCGAGCAAGGTGCGGCGAGGTGAGAACAGGAGCGAAGCAGTTAGCATCCGAGTCCAAGTCCAAGTCTGGGTTTTGCAATTAGCGGCGATGATGAAGATTATCAGGCCCAACTAGAAAAACAAGTCCATAGTTTATAAATAAACCCACCGAAAAACGGGGCGACGCGTGTAGACGAATTCGATTAAATTCGAAACTGGACTTGCGGCGCCAGGCAGCGAAGGGAGAGGGGGAGCAGGATCCGAGGATGAGGGCCACTTGCTGACCAGGTTTCCCGCCAAGGCCATTGGGCGCCCAGTCCCTTCTGTATCTAGGCTATATGTGCACAGGAACCTGATTTGCAACGGTCAATAAAGAGAGGTAATTGCACGGAAAAAAAGTAAAAGGGGTATTAAGTCAAGGGCTTTAGAACTATATATGGGTAATTTCTTCCCTAAGTCTGCTTTTATTTTCTAGCTTATATTTATTTGTTACCGTTTACTTTAATAAAGAGAGTAAGCCACCCTCAAAAAATAAATAAAATTATCTACAAATATTCACTTACAAACTGTTTTTTATATGTGTTATAAAGAAGTTAAATTCATATTCTTTTTCTTATTCCTATTCTTGGCAGTATGATTTTATCTATAAAAATGTTTTAAAAATAAAGCCACCTTTGGACTTTCAACCCAACTATTAATTTCTGTGACATTTATTCGTGGTTAACTGGATTTCAGGGGCCAAAGTCACACCACCACCAGCCAGCAGCACCTTCATTTCTCCTTCCCCAGATGAAAACAGAGCGTGGCCACATGACAACCATTGGGTGGCTATTCTTGGTCCGCCAAGAGAAAAAAGCAGTCACATGAATGCTGGCCTCCAAAACGGCCATGGCCAATTGAGGAGCAGACCGGGATCCACGATATACGAATTTTTCCGTCACCGATTCTGCAAATAAGCGAAAGTTTTTTCGATTTGGCGAGGGTCCAAATGAGAATGAGAGTGTGGGGACCCCGCCATGTGATGAGGTGGTGGCGTAGGAGTGCGCGTGTGAAGGCCTACTATTGCAGAGATGGCCATAATGCACAGGGAAAAATATGATTAAACTATAAAACAAAATAATATTTAAGTAAAACAGCAAAATATATATTAGATACCACAAGAACGCAATAAAAACAAGTTATTATTTACTTTATCGTTTAAGAAATGTATATATTTTCTTTTTTAATTAAAATGTATTACTTATTTTTTTATTTTCCCAGCATTTCCACATAGTTATTGCCCAAGTGCAGGCGCTGCACATTGAGAGACATCCAGAATGTACGCAGCTGCATTGGGCAGAGACAACTGCTGTTGCCTCAGCTGTCCGTGAACTGGTTTCTATTTTCGCCTGCTCCTATCGCCGGCAAATCATAAACAAAATAATTAAATTAACAACGGGAAAGTGGCAAAATATCGGCAGGGTGTCAACATAACAACAAACGTTTGCTTTCCGCTCTTATCAATGCGAAATGCCCCTAAACGCACAATGGCAACTAAATAAATGTACGCCCAACAACACTCGCACTGCTGTTGCCAAGTGGGGACAGGAATATATGGTGTGTACTGGTGTGACTTGTATATACCCCGGATTCCGGAGCCCCCGTCGCTGGTTCCCAGCAGACGAGAAAAACCAAAACAATCGCCGAGCCTCCGCCGACGACCAATCAGCTCGTCCGGAGTTTGACCCTCTCTCGCTCGGATCGGCTCGGAATATAGCGCTATATGACGATCGCAAGAGCCGATTGCCGCCGATTCGGCCGATCGGCATACTTGTTCTAGTCGCCTCGATGCCGAGGCGTCGGCTGGCGCGTATAAAAGGCCGCCAGCCCGGGCAGCTGGCATCAGTCACTAGTGGTCACAGTAAATGGAAAGATCAAGTGAAAAGCCTACTTTCAGTGGTCTGAAAATCAAGTTGATATTTGACAAAAAGCTGTGGAAGAACATACGAAACGAATAGTCGTCGCAGGAGATCAATAATTGTGATAATTAACCCACCATTTGTGATACAAAAGATTTAGCCAAAGTGCCAAAAACCCCTTCACGACATTTAAAAATTAAGTAGAAACTGTTGTGCAGTTTATTCCAAAGTTTTAAATTCGCAAAACACACAAAACCCACAAGCAAAATGCCTGAGCTCATTGAACAAAGCAAAATTATGTAAGTATTTCAAAAATATGTGCAGTTTTTCCAATGACCCAAAAACCATTCATATTTAATGCTGAATATTTTAGCAACCTATTAATTGCAATTTTCCCCTTCTCTCCATCAGCTCTGGCAACGTGTGCGGTCTGCCCCAGCTGCACAAGCTCCGCCAGGACAACTGCGGCCTCTACAGCCACATCCGCGGCATCCCCATCTCCTATGGCGACGCCAACGCCCTGACCGCCGGCGTGCGCAGCTTCGTGGAGGAAGGCATCGCCCTGTGCCAGCCCGATCAGGTGCACATCTGCGATGGCAGCGAGCAGGAGAACAAGATGCTTATCAAGAGCCTCCTGGAGGCGGGCACCATTGTGGCGCTGCCCAAGTACGACAACTGCTGGCTGGCCCGCACGAATCCGGCTGATGTGGCCCGCGTGGAGTCGCGGACCTTCATCTGCACGGACCGCCGAGAGGAGACCATCCCCACGCCGCTGGAGGGCGTTAAGGGTACCCTGGGCAACTGGATTTCGCCCAAGGACATGGAGTCGGCGGTGCAGCAGCGCTTCCCAGGCTGCATGAAGGGTCGCACCATGTACGTGGTGCCCTTCAGCATGGGCCCAGTGGGCTCGCCGCTCTCCAAGATCGGCATTGAGCTGACGGATTCCGCCTACGTTGTGGCCTCCATGCGCATCATGACCCGCATGGGCGCCGCTGTCCTGCGCCAACTGGCCAAGAAGGAGGAGTTCGTGCGCGCCCTGCACTCGGTGGGTGCCCCCGCTAACGGAGTGGTGGAGCAGCCGTCCTGGCCCTGCGATCCCGAACGCACCATTATCCTGCACAAGCCGGCCGAGAACCTGATCGTGTCCTACGGATCCGGCTACGGCGGCAACTCGCTGCTGGGCAAGAAGTGCTTCGCCCTGAGAATCGGCAGCACCATTGCCAAGCGCGAGGGCTGGCTGGCCGAGCACATGCTGATCCTGGGCATCACCGACCCCAAGGGCGAGAAGAAGTACATCACCGCCGCCTTCCCGTCGGCCTGTGGCAAGACCAACCTGGCCATGCTCAACCCCTCGCTGGCCAACTACAAGGTGGAGTGCGTGGGCGACGACATCGCCTGGATGAAGTTTGACTCGCAGGGAGTGCTGCGTGCCATCAACCCGGAGAACGGCTTCTTCGGCGTGGCTCCCGGCACCTCGATGGAGACCAATCCCATTGCCATGAAAACCGTGTTCAAGAACACCATCTTCACCAACGTGGCCTCCACCTCCGACGGCGGCGTGTTCTGGGAGGGCATGGAGAGCAGCCTGGCTCCCAATGTCCAGATCACCGACTGGCTCGGCAAGCCCTGGACCAAGGACTCCGGCAAGCCCGCTGCCCACCCCAACTCCCGCTTCTGCACCCCGGCCGCCCAGTGCCCCATCATCGATGGCGAGTGGGAGGACCCGGCGGGAGTACCCATCTCCGCTATGCTCTTTGGAGGCCGCCGTCCCGCCGGAGTTCCCCTCATCTATGAGGCCAGGGACTGGACTCACGGAGTCTTTATTGGCGCCGCCATGAGGAGCGAGGCCACCGCCGCCGCCGAGCACAAGGGCAAGGTGATCATGCACGATCCCTTCGCCATGCGCCCCTTCTTCGGGTACAACTTCGGCGACTATGTCGCCCACTGGCTCAGCATGGAGAAGCGCGGCCAGGTGCCCAAGATCTTCCACGTCAACTGGTTCCGCAAGAGCGCCGAGGGCAAGTTCATGTGGCCCGGATACGGCGAGAACTCGCGCGTTCTTGAGTGGATCCTGCGCCGTATCAACGGCGAGTCCTGCTACGTGGACTCGGCCATCGGACACATTCCCGCCGAGGGTGCGCTTAACCTGGCCGGCATGAAGGAACAGCTGGACGTGAAGGAGATCTTCTCGCTGCCCAAGGACTTCTGGTCGCAGGAGGTGAAGGAGATCCGCACTTACTTCGAGTCGCAGGTGGGCGCCGACCTCCCCGCCAGCATCTACCAGCAGCTGGACGACCTCTCCGCCCGCGTGGCCAGCCTCTAAGGATCGATCGAGGGATCAACGAGGAGCCCCCAAGCTGTCACATCTTTACCCGCCCCGCCCCATCTGCCCCACATACTCACCCGCTATACGCTATCCTGTCCTATATCCCCATATATCCCTGTCCCAACTTAGTCGTTTCTCTAGATCTTAAGCCCAAGACTTCCAGACTATTTATTATGTAAGCAGCCGTAAGACTAGCCAGTAAGCGAAGATTATCCAAGCAAACAAAGAAAAAGAAAAGAAAAAACATGAAAAAAATAAAACAAGATTTTATAAACCACAAAAGATGAGAGTATTTATTCAACCCAAGGATGGGACTGGGAATTAGCACTGATTAATACAAATTATGGCTGGTAAATAGGTAATCACGATCTAATATTTTTCTTTAATAAGTAAAAAACCACTCCATCTTAGTCACTTTTTGTAGATGCTTGAAAAATAATTAACAAAAACTTTAAATTACAACGCATGTTATATTCATTCAAATGATGATGAGAGCAAAAGCTTTGAGTAATAATACTTTAGTAAAATAGGTCAAAATATTTACTAAAGTAACCACTTTTGTACATTTAAGCACCCTTTCCATTCCTTAGCACAATGTTTCTTTACATGTCTTATTAGCTTAAGAAAAATTCGAAAATCTTAAAGCAAAAGAAGAGTATTTTAAACGGAACTCATGTTACTAAGTAAATTTAAAAGAATAAGAAATAATTTCAATTGTTTATAACGTCTTTTGATTGAAAAACATGACAGGAATTATGATACTCTGCAAGGACATATTGATCGATAATGAGATCTAGTTTAGCATATTTTACAACTACTTCCTTAAGATGCATATTTTTATTTTTATTTTAAATTAAATCTTGAAAGTAAGTTTTTAATAAAGCTCTCAACAGCTAGAGGTCTAATATAGATCCAGACTTAATACCATACACACTCAATAAGGCTCTATTAGCCAGATATATTCTAGTATCTCTTGTGATGTCCTTTAGTTCCCTCAAGTATTTTTCAACATGAAGGAATCCCTTAACAGTCAAATGAGCACCAGAATAATTTTCAGCAATATCAAAAACCAATACCAAAAAAAAAGAACGAAAAAATATAATTAGGTATTAGAGACTCTCTGACCGTAATTTCCCTACCCAAATCCATTAACAATTGTCCCAAGAAAAACATAAAACCGGTAGATGAGCCCCAGAATCTTCTCCAGCAATGCCAAGACTTAACTCCACTGCACTTGGCGGCAGCTTTCAGTGGCTCCATTTTCCAGTCCAGTGGAAAACCCGAGGAAAGCTCACGCGAAGCCGGAGCTTTGGCAGCACGATTCGGCTGCTCGGGGACTCGGCAAAGGTAGGCCTTCGCTTTGGCGAAGGTTCACAGTTCAGCTCGAGCAGCCGCCGCCGCAGCTTCGTCCGGGCGGAAGTTGGTTGGTGCAAGCGGAAACGGAAACGGAAGCGCAGGCGGAAGTGCAGAGAGTCCCGAGCGGCGCTCCGTGCAAACTGTTGCGTTGCGTTCAGCCAGCCACCAACTGGTGTTGGTATCGTTGTCGTCGTCGTCGTCGTCGGTGTTTGTTTTAGTGGCATTTAGTTGGCGGCTAACAATTAGCAAAGTTGCCATAGCAGACCGAATTATCCGACAAATTTAATGAAAATGGTAAACATTAAACATTGAAGGCGGCACGCGGAGTGAAAGTGTAAGTGAGAGCGTGCTTTGTGTGTGCCTGTGTGTGCCTGGCACTTTGTAAGCTGCGATTTGACATGTTGATTTATGCGCTGCACTCACTTCGCCCCCAAACGGCAATTGCCACCCTCCGGAACCCCGGGCAGGGATTACTCGGGTCCTGTATCGTCCCTACCCAGCTCCTGCTCCTGCCCCTGCCCCTGCCCCACCCCGCCACTTGTTGCGCGCACAGGACATTCGCTTAATTGCTAATCCTCGCGCCCAGACGCGTCTAATTACACGTAAGTTTGCGCCGTTTCTGTCTTGCCAAAGGACATCATCATTTTGCCACAGCCCCGCCGGGCATTTAAAGTGCAAATTGGTCTGGCTGGGGGTGTCCTGAAAAGCGGAGGTCACTTAATATGCCATCAACATGAGATTTGCACAAATGGCCCCGGCCTCAAGAATTATGTGTTGCAATAAAATCGATGCGGCCGGAGGTGGGCGCCTCAAGTGGCGGCTAATGACCAACTTGCGACGTGACTTCGGCCAGGATTTGTAATTTGCGAACTGGCCGCCGCCCCCGCACACACACACACACACACATAGTCTTTGATCTTAAGTGTTTTATGGACTTTCCTTGTTTGCCCCGCACACACACACACACTCCACAGTTTATTTTTACAGGCAGTGTGTCTCTCTTGCTGTAACAAGAAAGGGAGAAGGGGCAGTAGGGGCCGTAAAGTAGCCCCCACTGCGAGGGATACATTAGGGGCAGGGATAGTGGGCGGGGTTAAGTATGCGTTTAACGGGTGCGGGCTTAATTACAGGCAAAGTTTACCCAAAGGGTTGCCGCTGTCCGAGTTGCCCCGAAACAGCATTGTGACTTATGACGGCGGCCTGCAACTTAATGACGGTCCGTGCAGGAAGAGTCATTACTCTCTGGCCGCGATGATGATGGCGGAAAAGCCCACGCAGACGGAAAACGGAAGACGGAAAGGGAAAGCCGAAGCAAAAGCGTAAGCAAAGGGCGGAAAAGGTGCCAGATTGGAGCCAGGCTGGGAATTCTATATGCAAATGCGGGCCACACATCGTTCAGAGTCCATGCATAACTTACCAGCCGCAATCTGTTTAAAGTTGGGACAAAACGACTCAGAAAAAGACAGGACGGGGCAGGACATTCCATCAATAATTCAATACCCAACGACGACGACTGATTGGGTTCGCATTTCGTTCATAATCCATAAATCTGTGGCAATTATTATCTTACACAAGCTTACCTTTTCTCCGGCCAGCAAGAAGGACAATAAGCTTGCCAGGCTCCCATTTCCCAGGACATACACAAAACCGTAGCAAAAGAATAAAGACTGAAAGGAAACCCAGCATTTGAATGCGTCCGAAACGTGGAATGGCAATGCGAATGCGAATGGCTCGGATTTTCCTATTGATTTGTTGTCTGCAGATTTTCGCAAAGCCAAAAGAGAGAGACAGAAAGACAGGGAGAGAGAGAGAGACAGGTGAGCCCTGGACTCTGAGCCACTTCCACATCAACATTTTGTTATCAAACGGAGTCCCCATTCCATCCATCGATTCGTTGCGGTGGCAACACGCCATTATATTACGTGAAAATGCAAAATACGGCGAAAAAACCAGGGAATTGGTAAGGGGAGAGGGGAGAATCGAGGTAGAATCGGGGAGAAATGCGGAAAATGGGAAATGCGAAACGAAAAGGTAGCAGCAACAGCAGCAGCAGAAACAACAAGTTGACAAACACTTGAATCAATCACTCGAATAATTGATGCCTTGTAAGTGGTATTTACCGAAAGATTCCCCGGAAGATTCAAGGACTTAAATTGAAAACTTTTAAGCGGACAACTTGGGAGCTCATTAATATGCAAAAGGAACTTTTGCCAAACTCAAATAATCAACAGACGATTGGAAATTTATGAAAAGTATGCAGATTTTTCGGACAAGTAAAACAAAGAAAATATTAGACTGGTTTTTTGGGGAACTTTAAGTAGATTTTATATTTAATGTTAAAGCTGTTTTAGAGATCTTTTTGAAGAGTGCTTATTCCTTATGGACCTATAATTCTGAATACGTGTTATTATTTAAAAAAGATTAGGTTTTAAATCCCTTAAAAAAATGTGTCTAAAGGTATGCAAGAAAGTACCAAATTTCTTGAAAACTTGCTCTATTTTTATAATAATGCTATCAGTTGAAGCTTAATTTATTAGACTTTTGACTAACTAAGTAAACTCCTTACCTATAAAAACCAACGCAACGTTTAATGAATACATTCACGCTTACTATTTAATGAGTACCCCGGTCGTAACACCAAATTATCGCAACATTCGTAGTCTCCGCTTCACGCAAGAGTGACTCACTTTCATTCGCATTACACGAAATTCGACTGAGGAAGGACTTTCGACTGTATTAGGTTGCAGGACCACCACAGCAATAACAAGCAACAGCAACAACTACCAGACAAACAGACAAATAATAGCAGCAACAGGTAACAAGTAACAGGTAACAGGTAAATGAGCAGGTATGCTGCTGCGGCCATTATTCCGCACTATTTGCTTTGCCGTATGGACACGTACTTGTGCGTGGCTGCGCTCCGGCTATTTGTAACCGCCGTAGATACATACGTAGATACGTAGATAGCCGTAGATAGATAATAATGGCCCAGGGGTCGGAGTCCCTCCTACGTGAGCCATGGAGAGAGCTGAGTGTGTGTTTGTGTGGAAAGTCGAAGCAGCCACGTGTCCAGGGAAAACTTAACGGCATCCAGCTGCTGCTGCTGCTACTGCTGCTGCTGCTCCAATGGGAGGCAGAAACACATGCTCTTGAAAGTGCAACTTGCACTTCCAACAAACGCCACTGGAGTATCGTATAACTAAAGTGGCTTGCACACATAGAAAGCACTGAAAGAAAAATAGGAGATAAAAATCCAACTTCAATAATACCAGAAGCAGATAAATAGGGGTAACTTAACTAATCTGTTAAAAAATTTTGGTTTATAATGAGTCCCTAATTGTGTTAGGTATTAATTATTGTTATGTTTACATAAATTGAACTATTTTCGTATTATTTTTGATGGATTATGTCAAGACCCGAGGGTGGTAAACATCGAAAAAAAGCGGGAATTATAGCATTGCATACTTTTAGACATCATTTAAAGTGATTGGATATCTCCTAGCTTTATTTTTGTGTTTTTTTTTTACCTCTAGCCTACTGTTGCTATAATTAGAAACTTGCACTACAGTGTAAAAAAACTGTTGTGATTTCTGGAATAATTCCAAACTATAATTGTCTATAGACAAAAGAAATAAACTCTTGCAAGCTGAACTTAAAGTGTTTTGTTAAATGTTTAAATTCTTCTTTAGTTTAAACTTAGTTTAATCTTTAGTAAATAAACAAAACCTAAGTAAACTTAAAAAATAACTTGCTTCTCTGACTTCCGTGCACAATTCCGGCAATTGTTAATACTGCTTGTGGTGGTAAAGCGTCTGAAAAATCCCCTTTGGCAGCTCGATTAGAGCCTCAGATATGGCCAACACTCTGTTGTCCGTGGGTGTCTGGTGTCTGCGGCAATAATCAAGTTCGTGGACGCCCAAATGTAGGCAGCAAGCTCAAAGACTTCGGCTGGCTGCAAGTCAAACTCCGGAGCTGGCAAATCCTATTAGGGAACTTTGTGCCCGCACCGAGCGAGAGAAGTTTGCCGCAAGCCGATTGTTTGCAACTCGGGCGGCGGGCGAGGAAACTTTTGCATAAGTTAGCAGGAGAGTGGTGTGTGTGCGGGGGTGTGTGTGAAGGTGCTGACAGCTTGAGGGGAAAAGTGCGGTTTCGGGGCGCTAATAGGGGCAGCCACTTACGCCACCAGCTCCGCTCCCTGTCCAAGAGAGAGAGAGAGAGAGCGCCCATTTAACAATAATTGCCTAGCCAAATAGAGCACTTCCCCCGGAGAATGACTTGCGGCCATGCCGACCTCAGCCCCCATCCACATCCCCATCCTGGCCAGCCGCCTCCCTCTGCGGTCGGACGTGGGCGTGGCCTGGCCTTTATGATGCCTGGTTTCTATTGCCCGCTTTTCATTATTTTGATTAAATACAGATAAAGCCATAAATTATGTTTACTTTGTGCCCATTTGGGCCGGGCTCTGCACGGTCAGGGGCGCACTTTGTATCCTCCAAATGGGTGGGTGTGTGTGTGTGTGTTGGTGCGGTGTGTGTGCAGGATGAGTAATGGCCCATGATATTTACACATGAGTTGGCCATAAGCGAGTCGTTCCCATCGCATCTTCTCATCTCATCATCTTTATTTTAGCCCAAGTGCACGTCAGAAAAAAGAAGTTACAACTTTTGCATTTGACTAGAAGTTCTAAAGTTTTCTGAATTTATGTAGAATTTATTCAAGGTTTATTTAGGAGATAAAATCTTGAACAAGGCTAAATAAAATGTCTACAAGTACTATCTTGCAATATAAAAAGCTTTTATTTCCCATTTCAAAAGCAGACTTAGAGAATATATTTATCATAATTTTAGAGATTTTAGAGATACACTTAAAAAAATCAGGCAACATTTTACCCACAGAAGCCCTGATATGGCACAGCAACAGCGCAGCTGGGACGAGGGAGCCGTTGGCGGAGGAGCCTCCTCCTATGGGCATCCCCACTCCTCCCACCACAAGATACCGGCTCGGGCCGCCAGTAATCCGCTTCCCTGCAAGGGAGCCACTCCCAAGCTGCCCAGGTAAGTCCTGTCCATCTTCCTCAGAAACCTTTGAGATTCCTTGATACTTCGCTAGACAATACCACGGCGCTGGAAACGCGGGCTACAGCTACGGAGGCTACGAGACGCCGAGGAGTCCCAAGATCACTACCACCTTTGCCAACGACAGCTGTGACGATGAGAGCAGCTCCACGCCGAGCTCCTACTACCAAACGCCCTCCTCCGGCTCCATAGACGACTCCGCCTCCCTGCTCAGCGGTCGAACCACCGCCCGTAGTCCCAAGTCGCCGTGCCAGTTCGTCTTCGATGCAGTGAGTCCAAGTCATGGGCGGAAGTTTGAGTACTACGAGCCCATCTCGCCGGACGACGGAGCTCTGTACTACGATCCACCCAGTTCGCCGCGTCGTCAGGGCTCCAAGAAGCTGATGCGGGCCAAGACGCCGCTAGATCCGCTACCGCAGCTGACCACCACGGGGGTAGACGAGGGCATGGCCATGGCCATGGCAATGGGAGGCTCGGGCGGAGCGGGCAGAGACAACAAGCGGCAGCGGGACGAGTGGGAACTGCCCGTGATCAGCAAGATCGAGGCTCGGAACCTTAGTGCCGCTGCCTCGGGAGGAACTGGTTCTTCGGGTGGCAACTACTATGGCATGAAGAGAGATTCCTGCGTCACCGACTGCACACAGCTGTCCATGGAGTCCGGCGAGACGGGTACCCAGCACACAAACAGCACCATGGTGACCCACACCACCACTAGCTTTAGCTTTACGGAGCCCGAGATGGACACGCACCAGGAAGGATCCGCTGCCGGGAGGCCGCAGTCGAACCGCCAGCGCCGGCACGCCATCAACATCACCTCAAATCCCGGCTACCAGGTGCTGCACAGCTCCCACTCCACTCTGGATCGTACCTGTTCGGACAGCGTGGTCTCGCTGCGCTACCGCAAATCCACCAGTGACCTGACCCATGACGCCGACCACGAGCTGAGCGGCTGCAAGCCGGCCAAGCCCAAGCGGGACGCCGCCCATGTGGAGCACAAGCCACGCCGCAGGGGCAGCTCAAAGGGCGGACTGGCCTACCTGGCCAGCAGACGCAGCTCGCGGGAGTCGATGAAGAGCGCCTGCTCCAATGCCTCGATTGTGTCCAACGACGACGTGGGTCCTTTGGCCTTCCAGAGCTCAAACCGGGGCCGTCAGCGCCGGACCTCCAATTTTCTCGAGTTGCCAGGTGGGCAGCAGATCACCCCAACGGGTTAGGTATTGAATACTCACTTTCCAACTCGTGTCTTCCCGCCAGTTCCCGATCACATCAGACCTCGGGTCTGCTCCCTCCCAGAGCGCCCGTACAATCCCCGGGCCAGTGACGACCTCTACCGCCTGCGGCACTTCTCCATAAGTAAGGGTAACGTGGTCAACTGCGGCGACTCGATCATCTCGCGGAGATCGCGGAGCAACACCAGCGTCAACTCGACGAATAGCCGGGCCAGCGAGCGGTCGCCCTTTGAGGGCAGCTGCTGTGGCGCTGGCTACGCCAACGTTGACTCCCTGCCGGCCTCACCGGACGACTCCGAGAACCTGGAGCCGCCGCCGCCGGCCAGATACCGGGTGGTGATGCTCGGCGATGCCGGCGTGGGCAAAACGGCGCTGGTCAACCAGTTCATGACTTCGGAGTACATGCACACGTACGACGCCAGTCTGGGTAAGTAGTACTCCAAAGTGCCCCAATCCCCCCCTGATCCTACCAAAGACCTGGAGCAGCAGGGAACCAGGGAGCGCAGTGAGTAGACGTGACAACCCCTAGCTGGAACCTATGTGTGCCTGACCCCTAGCTTCCCGGCTGCCACTGGCGTCCTTAGAGTTTAATTCTGATCTGAGTTTTAGACGACGAGTTCGGCGAGAAGACCGTGAGCGTACTGCTGGACGATGAGGAGTCGGAGATGGTCTTCATCGATCACCCCAGCGTTGAGATGAGCGTGGAGAACTCCCTGTCCACCTACGAGCCCCACGGCTGCGTCGTTGTCTTCTCTGTAGTGGATCGCAGCTCCTTCCGCGTGGCCGAAGAGATCATCAACTACCTGTGGCAGGAGAACTACACGAAGGACAAGGCCGTCATCCTAGTGGGCAACAAGGCGGACCTGGCCCGAGCCCGGCTCATCACCTCGCAGGGTGAGCACTGCCCCTGTGTCCTAATAATGACGGCTTGATTTCATTTGATTTCTCCCCCTCCATCCACTTCGATTCGAAGAGGGCAAAGCCCTGGCCGCCTCACGCGACGCCAAATTTATTGAGACGTCCAGTGGCATACAGCACAACGTCGATGAGCTGCTCGTGGGCATACTGAAGCAGGTGAGTTCGAGCTGAGGGGCTGTGGTTGTGGTTTCCAGCAAGGTGCGAACCACACGCAACCCACTGGTGCATGGCCAAATTGTGCAGGAAATGGAGTTAAATGGATTTAACCAGACGGCGTCGGTTACCAGGCCACGGCTGGACTTGGGCCTGGATTGGGGCTGGGCCTGCTTCCGGATCGGCTCACTAATTAATGAAAATGTGGCGCGGTGAGCGGGGCAGGCGGAAACTCGGTCAGCTAACCAGATTAGGTTCGCCAGGCGTGGGTATTATGATTATTTTCCAGAAGTTGGTAGCAGGGAAACGTCTAAGATTTCAAGAAAGTGGCTACAAATGAGGCCTGGATTTATTAATATTATTTTATAAATTTAGAAAATTGTTACCTCCTCTCTTATGCTTAGATGCGCCTCAAGGAGAAGCGGGAGAAGAAGGCCACCGCCTCCAAGATGAAGACTTCGCGCACACACATCTCCCTGCATCTGGCCAAGGAGCTGCTGCAAAAGATCTGTCTCAGCGACATCTCCAAGTCCAAGAGCTGTGAGAATCTGCACGTGCTGTAAGGACAACTAACATGTGCTACTAGGTTCGTCCTCGCGGAATGCAAGGGGGCGAAATGATACTGTGTGTATACAAAGGAGAATTTTATCAAAAGAACGGCTGGCTGCCTGGCGAAATATTCCAAATGCCATTCGACGGGGGCACAGATGTGTTCATCTCCTTTGTCGGGCTTCGTTTATTAAAAGTTTAATGCCAGGTCGCAGTCTCGGTCTCGGTCTCTGTCTTGGTCTTGGTCTTGGTCTCGCTTTTTTCGGCAAGTCACTGGCTGTGGTCAGGCCTCCTCCTGCCCAGCGATAATCCGCTTGTTTATGGCGGATGTTTTGGAGTCTATGTGCTGGGATTATCATGACCAGACGAAGGCCGGGCTGATAAGAGATCCAGCGAGGCGTGTGCAGCCTCCACCCCGAAAAATCTACAAAAAAAAACCAAGAAACAATCGCTGAAAATGGGGGCGGTATTATTATCAGTAAAACTATATATAATATTTATAAGTGTATATTTACATGTGTACTTGCATAGATGTGTTCCACTGAGAAATAACTTCAATTCCAATAATGCGCGCTGTCAATTGAACTAAAGGAGAGACACTTAAGGTGCAACTCGAGAGGAACTTTATAAATGTTAAACGAGGCCATTATGTACACGTGACCTATATCCGATAAGTGTGAGCTATCCGTAAGTTAGGTTTATATATTCATGGTACCTTCGCCACCTGCTTCGCAAAAGATGTAATGAAAATGAAAATCTTCCAATTGACGAAAATCTCTCATATCGGAATGACTGTTGAATGTTGACTGTTGTTAGTCTAAGCCAAGAACAAATACCGTTTAATCAAAGTATCCAACTCAGAAGCTATATTATATAGATGTACCTATACAAACGCTAGTCTCTAACATATAGTATATATATATATATTTATGCATGTACTTGAATGGAACTTCTAACACTTCTGAACTCATACGCTTATATTTGAAAAATACCTTTTACAAAATGCGAGAGGCAAAAGCGAAAGCAAACGAAACTCTAACTATTTTCATACGCAAACTTACACATTAGGGGGATGATGGAGATTGGGATGAAGGCCTGCCAGGAGCTGCCAGGAGCTGCCAGGCGCTGCCAGGAGGATGTGTGGCCACCGGCTCGTCCAAAGTCGAGCACTCGACAGCTGTGCACTCATGTTTGCTTTACCCTTTTCCTTCCGCTCCACGTGTCACGTCCTATTTCCAGCCCCAAACCCAGTCCCACTTCCCTCCCTCTGCCTGCGTCGAGTGCACTTTATCATTTTTAACATTTAGCAAACAAAACAGAGAAGCAAACTTGCTACGGCCAAAGTTTTAATTTGCAGCGCAGCATAAAAAACAAAAAAAGTGGCCGGAGGATTCGAGTATTTCCAGAGGCCACGCATAGCATCGCGCATACGCCGCGTGTGACAAGGCCGAGGCTTTAATTTGATTCGCGCTAAACTTGATTTCCAAAATCGAATCACCAGCGAGCTGTAAACGCCCACCGAATTTATTGTGTAGAAGCCGTTAAAGAACATAAAATGAAACAAACAAAACCAAACGAATGCTAAAATAATAACAACTGTTTCTCAAAGGAATATTTTACTGCAGATTTAACCTGGCTTAAAGCGTATCTGTAACTGTAAAGACATAACCCACTGCGTATGACATATATACATTATATAGATATTTGTGTGTGTGAAGATCGATGTTATATATTTATATTTTTCCAAGCCAAAAGCAGAGACAAAGGCCTATACACAAAACGCTCTCGCAGAAAGCAAACTGAACCTTGTGCTGCATAGTTTAATCCACAATTGTACACTTTCGGCTTGTCACCGAGATGAGGCTGCAGAAAAAGCAAATTAATTAGAGTACACGGAGATAAAATCCGATTTCTCCCTCGGTACATACTATATAACGCTCCCTGCCAATCCGAATCCGCGTCCCCCCGCTGTCTCGATCCCACAAAATCCGATAAATAAAGGACAAGGACGCTCTGTAACTGGGTAACTAACTTGTTTTTCTACTCTGGAAGTGGGAAAGTGGGTAAGTGGGGTGTGGAGCATGGAACTCCTGCAGCTGACTGACTCGGGGGCCACATCCAATGCCAACTCATCCGGAGCTCAGCTGTTGCGCACTTGCGGTTCATTAGGGGCGCGGGAAATGTGTTAAGTGCCGGTTGTCAATCGCACCCGAAACTTGCTTCTGCCGGATTTCATGCTTCCGTGACACGAACACTCCGGCGCAATATTGGTTTTCGACTCTGCGGGTTGCTGCTACTGTTGGATTTTCGGGTTTTCCCCTGATTTTTCCGTTGAATCAATCGCCGGGCGTTGGGGCCGGGCCTAGCCGTAATTAACTTACGCACCACCCACCCAGATGAGAGATGAGCGGCTGAAAAGTTGACAATCCGGCTCTGATTGATGGCCAGAGCTCTGGCATGGCAACCTCGATTCGAGATTTATCTGCCTTTCGCAACGCGGAAGAGCAAGTTTCCCGGGATCCGGGACCCGGGACCCGGACTGCCGCCACCTGCTGGGTCTCATAATTTTAATGAGCTTATTTTATTATATTTAACGCACCAAGGAGCGGTCGTTGCCGTTGCCGTTTCCTCCTCTTGTTTATCCTGGAAATTGTTCCTTTTTGAGTTGTCGTTTTCGTTAATACGAGATTGCTTCGACTTCCCCCTGCGTCCTTCTTTCGGTGTCCTTTGTGCTGGAGCTCTGAGCCCGGGCTCAGTGGCCAAATCAAACTAATTCCAAGTTCAATAAACAAGCGTAAATGAATATCCCGCCCCGGAGCCATTCCTTAATCAGCATCGCCCCTCATCAGCATCCTCGGAGGCGCTGTAAATTCTTATGAAAATAAGCAACGTTGGCTGCTTGGCATTGGGATGACCCAAGGATGCGGGGGCACACGGCTTCTTCTCTCGCAATCGGAGAGTCGTAATCATAATCGAGTCACAGGAGAGTCGACAAAAATCGATTAAAAGCTTAAGCGCTATGGCGCTCAAGCCAGGATATTCCGGCGGAGCTTAATGCCCGGCACACAATTAAAGCGAGGTCGAGGTGGATTAAGCGGCAAATGTATATTAAGCCAATTATGTCGGGGCGGTGGGGCGGCAGGTGGGAATTATGGAATATCATTCGGAGCCTTCTCCTCCGGTCAGCCATTGTCGTCCGGCGATTCCATCTCGAAGCTCGCATCGATTATATGGCACAGATAGGGAAGAACGACGGAAGGCCTTTGCTTTCACCTATCCAAACGGATTACTTTGTCCTTACAGGGAAAAAGGGATCATAAGGGATGCCAAAGCACACACAATTTTATAGGGCCGAAAGCTGTTGGCCATCTGTTTCGTGTGTGTGTCTAGTACTCGCAGCAAAGTACTAAAAAAATATAAGGGAAAAATCGAGGCCACTCAGACGCACAAACAAACAAACTCCCAGGTATTCTCGCAGAGCATCCCAGATGAAGAAATATTCGCGCCGGCAGCCAACACTCTCGGGGGATTCATAACCAAATAAGCCGAATTTTTAAAGCATACTTTCTCGGCGCTCCGGCTCATTCTCACCGCCGGAGAAGGCAGAAGATTGGGATCGGGAATCCCGCAGCGGCGACGAAACTGAAAATTTACGAAAATGAAACTTTAAGCAATGTGGAAAATGAAATTTAAATAACGATTTATCGCCTTTGAAGTATGATTATTTGCACGGAGGGACGGAGGGTGATAAACAAACAGTCGACGACGCGACGAATCACTGTGCTGGCCATGTGGACTTTGGAATACCCTTGGAAACAGGTAAAGGGTGATTTTTAGATTTTCTGCACTGAGTATAAACAAATTAATTATAAAACTAATTGGTAAACTACTTTAAAATGTAAAAGACGGAAAGTAATGGGAACAAACATAACACGGTCAAGTTAAATATCAAATTGAGTTGTGATTAAAGTAAGTAAATTAAAATTTTGAATGTTAAGTATTAACACTCATACTATTATATTATTTTATATTCAAAAACTATAAGGCTATATAAATGCTTAATATTTAATAAAATGTTGCTTGCTTTCCAAGAAAAGTAAGTACATTTAATTCAATTTCAATCAATTTTACAAATATTTTTTATAAAAATATAATATCAAAATATAAATAAATATAAAAAATGAAGAGTATGTGAGCTTCCGAGCTCTGCTGAACGAATTCTCTGCACGCCCAACGAGGGCGAGTGGCCTGGCCCATAAGCGTAATGAAGAGCCGGGCATCTGGGATGGATTGAACGGATAGGGGTCGTCGTGGTCGTCTGCAGGATTCCTCCCGTCGCTGCTCCTGTCCCGCCCTTTCACCTGTCTTCCAGCACCTGTTCCACCTGTCCGCCGTCCGTGTGTGTGCGCCGGGTTATCAGAATCAAACGCCAGCGGCTGCTCTGCCCTGCCTCTGCCGTGCAGCATTTTCTACTCCTGTCGCTGTCAATTCATCGCATTGGCCTGAAATTGCTTTTTGCGATGGCTGAGAGCCAACAGCAACAAGTTGCGCTGCCTGGACTAAGGACTACGGACCCCGGCTGTATATCTAAATGTACATATATAGTATAGTGGGTCCCGGGTGTCTACACTGGGGCCTGCTCGCTCCACAAAGGAAATGAGAAAAGGTTGGCGCTGGCTTCCACTCGGCTGTTTGTTTGCCTGTTGATGTTTGTGGGCCTCGATATACTTGCAAATTTGCGCGGCGCAGGAAACAGGATGTTGTCCGGGGTTGAGCGGGGAGGGCCTGCTGCTGGGTTTGGAAATGGGGAAAGCGGGTTTGGGGCATTGTTTATTCTACGGCTGAAGGCGGGAGAGCAGCAGGCCGCAAAAAGTCGCCGGCGCGCTGGCAACCCGAAGAATACGATACGAAAATGCGTAGAGATACGAATACGAGTGGGAGTGGCACTCGCGGCATGTAAATTACAAGCGGAATTTCGATTGTAGCCCACGACGACCTTCGGAAGGGGGCGGCCAGAGCCGGCCCGGCCAGGGGGTCGGAATTAAATGTGAAATGTGAAAGGACCACGACAAAATAATCTCTCAAATGTAAGAAAATTGTTTGGCGGCAGGACGGGAAGCGTCGCCATTGCCGCTAAATGCCAAAATGGCAATTTGCTAAAGTTTTCCCCAGAAACGAGCAGGCCAGAGACCGACCTCCAGATGGGGTGCCGAAACGGAGTGGGTGGCTGGTATCCTTACGGGCGTGCAAGGGGGTCTAGCATAAAAGTCAAAGCTTGTCTGTTACACTCTCTATCTACTTGTGCACTTGGAAAATATTACAAGTATATATAGACATAGATATATGGATACACTACTACTTCAATTTGTTGAGTGGCAACGTACTTGCAACAAAAAAGGGAATTGTATTGGAAAGTAGTTGTGACAGGATAGTGTTTCTTTACAAAATGGAAAGAACTTGCAGCAATAAATTAATAAATATATGGGAATATGGAAGAGTAAAATAAAATAACAAAACTGGGAAGTTTACTAGACCTTTGTTAAAGAGATCCATCTCTGGTAGAGTTTCGTTACGTATAGAAGAGAGTACAAAAATTTATTAAACAATCAGTGATCAGGTAACCTTCTTTTTATTTGGAAAAGTATAAATATCACATTATAAAGCAAATAAAATAGAAAAATAAATCCAGATGTATATGCATTGTAAAAGATACCAGCTTAACTCTTTCTTACTAAATAGTTTTACTAGTTCGTGCTCCCAACTTACATAATAATAGCCCTATTCTATATATTCTACGCAGAGAGAACACTATTTTTCCCCGAGTGTATGTAACTCGTGTCACAGCCCGTTCTGGAAGCTGGGGCTCAACTGCTCAGCATCCTGGCGAGAAGGCACTTGTTGAGCGTTTTGCAAACGAACAGCAACAAGAACGTGTCAAAGAAATTGAAATTCTGTCTGTGTGTTTGTGTTTTGTGTGTTGTTTTTTATTCTTTGTGTTATATTCGGGGGAACCAGGTGGCAGGTGAACAAGCGAATAAGCTTTTTTGTCCGCTTTTTGCGATGCCACACACTGACGCTGTCAGCTCCCCCAGGAAAGGGAGAGTGGAAAACGCAGGCGACCTTTGTGCCAGGACAGGCCACCACCGGAGGGGGCAAACTCGGTTACGCAGACTGTATGGCAGCCACATAATGCAGTCAGGGCACGATTGGCAAAACGCTCGGGGAGCAAAATAGAACTGGCTCCCAGTACCAGTCCTTGTACCCTGCTTCCTGGCGCACCTCGACCTTGGGATCCGATTGAACGACTCCATTTGTCCAGTGGTCCATATTCGGGCTTTGGCTTTGGCTTTGGCCTAGACTTTCGACCTTGCCCCCGCCGTCAAATGGGCTGTGACCCACGTTGGCCTGGGCAGCGCCATAAAATGCAGGCAACTCTGTTGCAGCCGTCACGGACATTCGGTGAGATCCTGTGGGCGATTCAACCACAAACTGCCCGCCAGTTTTGAGGACTCCGCGCTGACCATCGAAAAGCTGCCGCCACTGTGTTGGTATGTGGCTTCGGACCAAGGGCGAGCATTAATTGTCAGCCATGAATTATGCAAGCGCCAATTCACGTGGATTTTTTATTCGCATTTTCAAACAGCCTGACTGTGTTGACAGTGGCGATATGGGAGTTTCGCGTTTGCATTTAATTTTCCACCAGATTACGTTGACAGTTGCCCACGGCCTGATTTTCGTCATTGTTCGATGGCGGAACCCCCGAGGGAATCAACCTCCCAGACCTACGGTCAGGCGCATGCATAATGAGCGGAGAGGCCAGAAGAGTTCCTGGACCGTGTGAAGGGCTTATGCGATGGATCCGGCATTCAAATTATAAATTATATTGCGCCATAATTATCAGACGATTAAGGTGCGGGGCAGAGCACTTGATGACACTCCATTAAGCGGGTAATAGAATTTCCATTAAAATTTATGCAAATTGCTAAATGTTAAAAATCAAATTATATGTCGTTTGAGTTGGGGCAAA